TAAAACACTAGCACAAATCTGTACAACCCATATGTAGTTTCTTAGCTGGTGTTCAGAATCATATAAATGGGGCCCAGCACTGTGGTCTAGTGGCTAAAGTCCTCACTTTGAACGTGCCGGGATCCCATATGGGCATTGGTTCTAATCCCAGTGGCCCCACTTCCCATCCAGCTCTCTGTTTGTGGCTTGCAAAGACAGTTAAGGACAGCCCAAAGCCTTGGGACCTTGTACCCACATGGGAGACCCAGAGGAGGCTCCTGGCTCCTGGCTTCAGATTGGCTCAACTCTGGCCATTGTGGTCACTTGGGGAGTAAATGATTGGACGGAAGATCTTCCTGTCTCGCCTGCTCTCTGTATATCCAACTTTGCAATAAAAACAAAATAAATCTTAAAAAGAAGCCCTTAAAAGAAAAAGAATCATGTAAGTGGTGTCTAGAATCATGTAAAGGGACCTGCACCTTGCATAGCAGGCTGTGCCTCAGCCCATGGCAGTGGCATCCCATGTGGGTATCACTTTAGGTCTGCCTTTCAATTCAATCCAGCTCCCTGCTGGTGGCTTAGGGAGGCAGCAGAGGAAAGCTCAAGTCCTTGGGTCCCTTCACCCACATGAAAAGGCAGCTTCTGGCTCCTGACTTAGGATGGGGCCAGCTCTGATCCTTGCGGCCATTTGGGGAACACACCAACAGAGAATCTGTTTCACCTTCTCTCTACCTGTAATTGTGCCTTTCAAATACAAATAAATCTTAAAATACTTTTGTGACAATAAAGTGTCTTGGGGTTATTGCAATAGGGTCCTGTTTCAGTTCTGGCTATGCCATTTCCAACCCAGCTCTCTAAGGCCTGGGAAAACCATGGAGGCAAGCCCAAGTCCTTGGGTCCCTACAACCATGTGGAAGATCCAGAGAAGGATCCCACTGGCTCCTAGCTTCAGGCTAGCCCAACATCAGCAATTGTGGCCGTTTGGAGAACAAATCAACAGATGGAAGATCTCTCTCTCTCTCTGTGTTTCTATGCCCTTCCAATAGATTTGAAAGGATTGTTTTTAAGAAAAAGTCTTAGTTAAAAACAGTTTGACCAGCTCCTGACAACTTATCTAAGCAATACCACAATAGTCTCTAATACCAAGGGTCCCCCCGAAAAGGTTTATGTATTTTAAAGCATTACAGGAAATGTGTGTGGGGGTTGGGAGAGTTCTTCCATCCACTGGTTCATTCCCCAAGTAGCCACAATGGCCATGACTGAGTCAGGCCAAGTCAGTGGCCAGGAGCTTAATCTGGGTCTCTAATGTGGAGAGCGGGGGCCCCAGCACCTGGACCATCTACTTCCTTTCCCTGGCCATTAGAAGGGAGCTGAATCTGAAGTGGGGCAGCCAAGATACCAACCAGCACCCCTATGGGCTGGTGTTGCAGGTGGCACCATTACTTGCTACACCACAACTTGGCCCTCTAGTACCAAGTTTTGAAAACCATCTCAGGGCCCAGTGTGATAGTTCAACTGGCTAATCCTCCCCTTGCAAGCACCCAGATCCCATATAGGTGGCGGTTTGTGTCCCAGCTGCTCTACTTCCCATCCAGCTCCCTCCTTACAGCATAGAAAAGCAGTAGAGAACGGCTCAAAAGCTTGGGACCCTGCACCTGTGTGGGAGAACCCTAGAAGGCTCCCAGTTCCTGGCTTCAGAACAGCTCAGCTGCAGAGGCCGTTTGGGGAGAGACTAGAGGATGGAAGATTTCTCTGCAAATCTGCCTTCCCAATAAAAATGAAAAACCTTTTAAAAAGGAAACAAAACTCAGTTTCTGAAGCAAGAGTAACTACTCAGAGAGCTCACATCCAGTCAGATCCTTCCAACTCGTTTCAATGTTTTCAAACAACTTACCTCTGCAATGAGGTCACCCTCGTTGATTTTGTCCCCTTCCTTTTTCTCCCACCGGGCTATGGTGCCTGCCTGCATCGTTGGGGAGAGAGAAGGCAATGGAACCTGGAGAAGAAAAAGGAGAAGCACTGCATTTAAAAGGAGTTACTTAACTCTCACGCGTGGTTCGACATTTCCTTCAACTGCACGCAGAGTTTACTGAGTCCTGTTACACACTGGGCGCTGCACACTTCGTCTCCCATGGACCTGAGTCTGACAAAGCGCAAACCTCATCCGAGGCTTCTGCAAGCAGCCCAGGCTTGGAACTCCCATTGCAATGGTACAGAGAACTGGATGGGGAACTCGCTAGCTCCAGCCAAGCTGGGCTTTTGACCAGGGGCCATGCCAGATCACCGAGGCCCCTGAAACAGGATGCCCAAACCGAAGAGTGCGCCTGAAGGACAACCGGGTGCAGAGTCTCACCTTCTGATGCGGGGGGAGACTGTAACAGCGCCGGCTGGGCGATCCCCAAAGCTGCTGCAGCAGGGCGCGGTGCCGCGGCGTGGCGCCAGAACTGGGGCTCCAGCCGCATAGTGCCCGGACCCCGCCATACACCGTGGTCACTCTGCTGCAACGAACCGGAGCCAGCCCAGACCGCGCAGTCCCGTGCGGAGCTCCGGGTCCCTCCCGGCCAGCCGCCCTCCGAGCCCCGAGCGCCGCCCTGGGGGCTGCATGCTGGGCCCGCCGCGCCCAGACGCGCCACATAATTGTCACCGGCTCCCCACAACCCACAACCAACACCGTCTCCGGAGTGACCTCCCCAAGAGCGGCACGGCTCTGCCGTCAGCCACTCCCGCGCTGCCGCACGCTGTCGTAAAACGGGCTCCGAAGATTCTCTCCGCCCCGCGTCCCAGGCCCGGACGCCCTTGGTTTCCGGAGGTCTGGGGGCCTGTTTGGGGCAGGGGGCTGCTCCGGGGCCACGGGGCTGGAGTGCTTCACCGGAGTCTGGGCGGCTGCTAGTCCAGGAGAAATAAGAGAAGGAGTGGGCGAGGAGTGGAGAAATCCCGGGGCCTCCAGGGAGAGGCAGAGTCGCCTCAGGTGCTGGGGTGCGGGGAGTGGCCACGTTTTGAGGAAGCGCTGGGATGGGAGCCCTAGGGCTCAGCTGGGCGGTGGAAGCCTTCGGCCTGGACGGGTTCTTGGAACGCTCCCCGGGAGAACGGCGGGAACCTGCCCGCGGTGCCGAGGTTTTCGCCGAGGTGCCCTTGGCTTCCCAGGATGACCGGGAGAATTTGCCCCACCCCTCTGAAAAGGCCACCCTGGGTTATGCAGATTTAATTTGTCTTTGTAGCGCCACCGGAAACTGGAGTAAACAGGTTTTCCAGCCCAAGGGTGCCAGGCGCTGGCAAGTAGATGATACATTCCGACATTTGGTTGTACAATAGCGGGATTAAGCACAGTCCCTGTGTGAAGATTCCACTTAACACAAAACAGTTTTGTGTTCATCCCTAGTGTATTATAGGTGCCTTTTGAATATCCAGAAGTACTGTTTGAAGTATGTGATACCAAAAAGTAAACTACAAAGCTACTGAGGTCAGGATGTGTTATTTGGATACATTCCCAGACTTTGGAGCCGAATGCATAACTTTTGAATGAATGAATGAAAAGCGATCTAAACACTTCTCTTGTGGACTTAACATTTTAGAATTAGCAAGTATCTCATCATTTCTCAGCTGAAGGTGCTAAGATCAGGAGAGAGCAGGTGCCCTGTATGGATCATGCATTTAAACTTTTTTTTAGGGGCAAATAAATGGTTGGTGCAAACAGCCAAAATTACGGTTGGGTTTGCCAGCATCTTATATGGAGTGCATGGGTTTAAGTTCCAACTCCACTTCCAATTCCAGCTTCCTGCTAATGCACCCCCTAGGAGGCAATAGATGAAGGCTAAAAGTACTGGAGTTCCTACCACCAATGTAGGAGACCCAGATTGAATTCCAGGGTCCTGAATACATCCAGATACAGCTTTGGCTGTTGTGGGCATTTGGGGAGTGAACCAGCAGATGGAAGATATCTCTCTAAAAGCCAAAATAAGTAATACACATAAGTTAAACTAGCATGTGTTACAAGAGGTGATTCACTGAGATGTGCTTCTTTAGACCTTGTTTTGCATTTTTCTATTAGTTTATATCTTACGTACACTTTGACTTAGGTATAGCTAAATTAGAAGATACAGTTCAGATGGTCCAGGGATTGCACTGGTACCGTAGGCTAGGAATTCTTAGTCCCCTGAACAGACTGGATAAAGGAAAATTAAGGCAGCAAAAAAAAAAAAATACTCGGATTTGAAATAGATTTGTAGAACAGTAATATCACTGATTCAAATTTGAGTAGATGGGAAGAGAAAAGAGTTCATTATGAAAGATGTTGAATTAAGTTCTGTTCATACTTATCACAATGAAGTAGCAAATTAATAGTTTAGAATATGTAAAATACGTAAGAACAGTGGAAGTATTCAAGGCTAACAACTGGGATACATTAAACATTCAGCTTGAAGGCAACTTTGTTTTGGGGGAGCGGGTTTCAAATTGTCTTGGGAATATTACACATGCACATATTCTTTTTAACTTTTATTTATTTGAGAGTCAGACAGACAATGCCTGCACTGGCATATGCCCCAGATTCCTGCAGCTGGGCCAAAGCCAGGGCCAGGAGCAAGAAGGCAAGAACCTAACTATGTGAGCCCTCCTGCCTGCCTCGCTCAGGGACTGCTGGAGTCAGAAGGCAGATCTGAGAACCAAACCCAGGCCCCAGGATGTGCAACAAGCATTTTTAACTGCTAGCAATTGATTGCTTTTAGATGAACATTTTTAAAAGTCTAATGTTTGTGCTTGCCTTAGAGACTGTTTTGTACATGCCTGGATTCTTATTTACACATTTAGATAAAATTTTTCAAAAGTGCTAAATAATATTTTTCTTGATAATACTTTTGCTTCCATTAGAAATATTAGTAGCACAGTATCTGTGGCAATAAAGTAATCCTTATCTCCAGTCTCCATGTAATGTAAACATGCTACCCAGGAGCTCAAGTGGGGGCACTTGAGCTTATTTATATATGGCGTTACTGGTCAATAAGGAAAGAAAAATGATTGATGGATTTAGTTTGCAAACTCCATTTTATTCCATTTTATGTTTTTTTAATTAGTTCATAAATTGCACGGGCAGTTAAAACCGGTTATCACTGTGATCATCAGAAGCCTCTGGTATAACATATTCCTCATGAGAACACTGTGGAACAATACATGGCAATGATCTCTTTGAAAGCAGTGGTTGCAAACATCCATGTTTCTAAGAAAATATAACTTTACACATATATGGATTTTAAGCAAGCTATATCTCTCATTAGTTCAGACAATAGAGTATGCAGTCATGCTTAATTCATGGAAACAAAATAATTTTAATTATGCTCTAAATGTTTTTAAGTCCTCTTGGATTGATGTAGATCATAAGAATATTTTTTCTAATTTATAACCATCCTGATTTAAAAAAAAAAAAGCTACAAACTAGTAAATAGCATTGCCACTGCCAAGTGTGTTCAGCCTTAGTTCTTCAGACACAAACTGCAGTGTTCCAATTCCAGCAAATTTAGGCAATGAAGCAATAAGAACAACCTTTAGTGAAAACTTTTTAAGAAACTGAACTCTTGACTAGTTTTTGAGAATCATTATAAAAAAAAGAAAGCGCCAACACTGTTTAGAAATGTTTTATGAATTCTAAACATTCTGATTCCTTAGTTTTCTCAAGGAACAAAAACACCATCAATAGCAGAATGGACTATTCGGCAGCTATGTCACTAGGAGACAATGAGCATGAAAGAATCCAAGCGCATCTCAACAGTGATTCATTCAGACTGAAGGACTCAATAGCTCCTTCGGCTCATCTGACAGCTGGTATAAGGATTACCAGCACATTTTGTACAAGAGTTACTGGAGTGACTTCATCTAGTAGGGATGTTTACCTCTTGCATAGGATGAATAAGCTAAAAGGTGGGGCGAGGGGAGACCTCCAATTCTCCCTGAACTCAATTTCAGCTTTTTAACGTGGCACCAGGCCATTACATATCCTTTTCCAAAAAGGAGATAAGAAAAATAAGTAAGGTGAAGAACTATGAAATATTTCTCTGACTTAATTTTCTCTGAAATGTTAAATTACACATAATATAAGACTTGGCTGAAAGAAAAGTGACAAGCAAAACTGATTTAAGGGACAAACATCAAGATAAACTACTAGAAATAATGAATTTTGGCCTGCAAACCCTCATGATATATATATATATATATCAAACACTAAAATTCATGCAACAAAAAAACTGATGATGTAAAGACTTTTTCTCCAGACTTCCTGGACCAAAAACAATATATTCCTGGAATAAAACAATATATTATCTCCTATCTGACTTCCAAATGAATCATTCATAATTTAGGCTGGCTTTCCCAAATTCTCCCAATCACTTCTGACAAAAAATAATATCATTGTTAGTAGGAAAAGACCAGATAAAATTAGATGAAAGACATCAGGTGTCTTCTGAGCTCCTGTCTGCTGGAGGTGCAATCAACTGAATTACATAAAACTCCCACCACAATAAAATGGCAGGTAGAATTGAAACTGGAATTGTCATCAGTAACAAAATAAAGCTTGTTCTGAAGCCATAAGGGGTGGTAAGAAGAGACTGTATAAAAGCTACGGTTCTCTAAGGATACAGTATACAATTGAATGTGAGAATATATACAACTCACACTTGAGTTATAAAAATAGACATGGTTCTCAGACAAAAAGAAAATGAATACAAAAGAATTCTCCAGACATGAACTATTTTAAAAAGACATCTATATAAAACAACAAGATGTCATCTCAGAGTTTCAAAGAGTAGTTGTTGAAATGGCTAGAGGGAAGTTGAAATGGAAACAGATCCATCCTACTCTTCTGTTTGGCAGTGTACATTGGTAATCACAAACAAACTGCTATGGGCAATACAGATAAATAAAAATGGCTAATTGGTTGATGGCTCTTGGGGAATGAACGAGAAAGCCCAGGTTATTAGTGATTTCTGGAAGCTATACACTTGACAATGTTGCACATGAGAAATTATTCTAGGTTTTGTTACCTAGAATCAACCCTACCATTCATGACTCATGCTCCATGCCCCATGGTTTCTATTTGATCAACCTACACTAAATATATAATAGAAAATAACTCCAGCCTTGAAAGAGGATTCCAGACCAGTAAGTCATGCTCAGTTCTCATAAATCACAAGGAAATACTGAACTTAATGGTCTGTCTCCTTTTAGCTGTAAAGGAGATGCCATGAGCCAAAGAAAAAAGAGACAAAGTCAAGATGATATGGGTAGCAGCACCTTTCCATACCCGCCTGGATGTTTAAGGAGACATTCACTCCTTATTCCTTTCAAACACAAAGAGTTTATCAGTTTGAATAAAAATAAATGACTCTAAAGTTAAAGAGTCCCTAGAGATAACTAGCAGTCCATGAAATATGCCCCCATATGGGCTGAAGAACAAGCTGCCAAATCAGCCAAGACCAAGAGAGGCAGCATAAAATCATATTTAATTACGGTTATAGCATAGTATAGCACAAAATGGGCAGCCCTTTTTCCATCCAATAAACAATTCAGCACCATCCAGGTCCAGTTCAAAGAGTTACTGAAGAGTGGGCCTTCATCTTTGGTACCACTTCTTCATTTATTCTTGGTTTGCGATAGCTGCAAAGCAGCAGAAATGCTGGTACCTTTGTCTTGGCTGTAAGTACAAATGCTGGGACTCTGATTGCTGTAACCATTGAGGCCAAATAATACTGTCACACACAGGAGTGATGCATCCAATTCTCAGGTTCCAGGTAATAGCAGCCATGCCCCTACAGGAGCAAGATCATCCATCCCCGTTGGTTAAGGCCTTAGGTTTGTTGTCCTCAGAGTAGAACACTGTGTTCCCACAGACAAGGAACTCCAGGTGAACCCATGACATACATTTGGATGGGGATATTAAGTACCAGATAAGCCAGGCACAGAGACAGGACTGCCTGGTGGTCATTATACTTGGAGAAGCTTCAGTTTTAGCCACACAGACTAGAAATATCTCCGTGTATTCTGGTTTTAGTCTCCTTCCTGAGTGAAGCAGCCAGGGAGTGACTTGGTTCCCAAGCCCCCGAGCTAATACTCAGCATTAATTCTCTCCGTGTTCCTCTTCCACCCAGGCTACAATTTTCCCTTCCCATCCAGGGATGGCATCATCATCATGGAAAACCTAGAGAAACAACAATGGAGAAATACAGAGTAAGGTAAAAGTATCACTAACAACCACTGCTGCTGCTGCTTAGAGAAAAAAAAGAAAGACCTTAAAAACGTAAAGTATAACAAAGTAGAAAACCTTGTGTTAGCGTCTAGGTCCCTTTGGTTTTGTCCTTGAAGCTCTAACTTGTAACTTATGTATATGTATATGTATTTCTTAGATTTACAGCTATAAAATATCCTGAACTCTGTTATAAGCATTAACACATTACTCATCACAGACTATTCTGGAACTTCTTTTTTTTTTTTTTTTTTTTTTTTTTTTAAAGATTTATTTTTATTATTTTTTCATTGGAAAGGCGGATATACAGAGAGGAGAGACAGAGAGGAAGATCTTCCATCCGATGATTCACTCCCCAAGTGAGCGCAACGGGTCGATGCTATGCCGATCCGAAGCCAGGAGCCTCTTCCGGGTCTCCCACGCGGGTGCAGGTTCCCAAAGCCTTGGGCTGTCCTCGACTGCTTTCCCAGGCCACAAGCAGGGAGCTGGAAGGGAAGCGGGGCTGCCAGGATTAGAACCGGCGCCCATATGGGATCCCGGGCGTGCAAGGCAAGGACCTTTTAACCACTTGCGCCACCGCGCCGGGCCCCTATTCTGGAACTTCTAAGAGGAAGTAGTAGGGTAAGCTTCAAAAAAAAGTTGAAAAAGAGGAAAATTTTGGTGTAAGGCATAGAGAAGAAAGGATTGGAAGCAAGACCAATCAGAGTTATTTCTTGGATGCAGTTCTTTGATTTCACAAGCCACAAATAAAGCAGGGTTATTCAAACATTTCAGTGGGGAAATCTTCACAAAATATGTATCATTTTTTCCGCTTTTTAAATTTTGTAACCACAATGGAAGGCCCTTATAATCTATAACTTGCTTCTGAAGAATGGGGGTTGGAGGGAAGGTTTTGCCTGGCAAGTGGACTGGATTACCGAGAAAAGTAAAAGTGGAGAGAATACTCAAAAGTTGAAATAAGCATGTTCTCAAACACAGATGACCACCCACAAGTTGCTAGCTTTCAACACACATATATCTGTTACATATATTCAAGCCTGTTCGTTTCTTTTGCTCTATGTAGGAGTAACACTTTTTTCTGTGATGTGGTTACAAACAGAAAAAGGACACTTTTATAATAATTTCTTTGTTTTCCATAACAAAATAAATTAAAAAAAAATGAAGATTCTATCCAAAAATCTCAAAGTAATTAAATCCTAGACTAAATCCACCACCATCTTGGGCCATTCTGTGGCTTCTGAGCCTATAGCAATTAGAAGTGACTCGAGTCTCCGGAGGCTCCTCAGAGCTGAACAGAGAGTGTGAGTACTTCCGGGGGCCAGGGCTTGAGGCCAGTGGGCAGTGACACCACACATGCTCTGTGGAGTGCATACCTCCTCTTTAACAGTGCCAAACTCGGGATCCAGCGCTTTGAAGTGATACCGGTGATTCCCTTCCCGGTCAATAGCTGCTTTAAAATCCTTTAGCGTCACTTCCCCCAACCTGCAACAAAAGGACAGTGCACCAAGACAGAATGTTAATCAATAAGTTGGGAAGATAGGGCCCTTCCATGGTCAACAGGCAGAAACAGCATGGCCTTGTCAGGTCACAACCCCTGATAACCCTCATTGCATCTGAGATGACCCGAGAATTTAAAATAGAATTATTGCATCTACAGCAGCCAAATCACTTTCCTCTGGTTTTCTCTGGGAATTAGACAAAAGGTATCTGAAATCAAGTCTGCAGAACAACCATATGCACATCTATGGTTCTCTTGATTTCCCTCTTTACTATTCCACTTTACAATATTCCACTTCTTTACTATGGAACATAAAATGTCACCATGTTTACTTTCTATCTTTAGGAAGCTGGCTTTTCTCCCAGAGCAAACTAGGCAGACGCTAGGAAAATCTATGACCTTTCTCAGTAGTTGATTCAAAACTATGTTCTTTAGTACAAAATATATTAACTGACTTTTTGCAAAGTTCTTAACATAAATTCACAATTGGGATTAGCTACAGCCATCTAATCATAACAAAGAAGAAGGAGCGCCAGGATGCAATTGATGGCTAGTGGCAGGAGGTATTTTGACCACTCAAAAACTATTATTTCAGACTTGGAGCGTATTTGTAAGTTATCCAGATTGAAAGTACAAGGATCCCAGCATCTCACCTCTTTGGTATGTTGACCATGAAGGGTGTAAGTGACCGGTCAGTGAAATAGAGCACTTTAGTGCAGGTGCTGCTGACAGCTGGAGAGCTCTGAGAATGAGGCAATTCTGCAATCAGAGACAGACTGAGTGGTTAGGACATCCCATTGGCTCCAAACCATCCCATAACTCCAGTTATTCAAAGTATCTCAGGAGAATGTATCATACCCTTGCCAAACGCCATGTCCACAGGGGATGATCCACAGAAGTCACCAATGGTACCACTAAGACAAGGGGTATTTTGAACATGGGCAGTATCACAAGCACCGTCACGCCTCACCATTCCATGTTTTTCTAGCAGGGGATTAGCAACTGATCTGAAAGCCAGGTGGCTAAAGACCGGCAGAGGGCAGAGAAGCCCAGAAAGTTCAGCGAGGCAATGGAGACACACAGCAGGGTCTGTAGGCTTTGCCAGCATTTAGAATTTGGTGAACAGTAGTGGAGAATAGTCCTGGGATTCATGAAAACAAAGACCACACAAGCACGGGAACCTTAGAAACTCAGATCCCAAAGGGCCTCTGCTTCCACCTGAAAAGGCAGAAGACCTAAACTCTCAGCTACATAGGAATCACCTGGCTGTTCCTGTGGCTTCCTTTTTTTTTTAAGGAGAGGGGAAAAAGATAAAGAGCTCTCATCTGCCAGTTCACTCCCCAAATGCCCACATGGCCAAGACAAGGCCAAAGCTGGCAAACAGGAATGATCAGCATGTGGGTGACAGGGACCCACTCACGACTGCTTCGCAGGGTCTGCACTGACAGAAAGCTGGAGTCGGGAACCAGAGCCAGGAACTGACTCCAGGTACTCCACTGTGGGACCTGAGTATCTGAATGGCTAAGCTAACCCTTCCTTCTGGTCCTAGGTCTTTAACTCAAGTTTCTAACTTATATATTTTTAAAAAAGGTGCTTTGGGGAAAATGTAGTTAATGAGTACTTGTAGTTATGACTTTAAGAAAGAAGGAGATAAGAACAATCACAAACCTTTATCATAAAGACCCAAACTAATTAAACATCCATATATATGAACTCTCTTCGCCAATTCCACCTACATGTATTTTCTTTCTTACTCTAAGCATTGATTCCAACCCAAACTGGCAACTTAGGAAATATATTCTGGGAGAGAGATTAAAATAAGGGAGAGTGGGGCAGCAATGTGCTCAAGGAAATTAAGCGGCTGCCTGCAATGCCAGCTGCTCCACTCCGATTCTACTCCAAGCCAATTAGCTTAAGGACTGCAGCAAAAGACAGCCCAAGTACTGGGGTTCCTGCCATTCACCTAGGAGAGCCAGATGAAGTTCCTAGCTCCTGGTTCTGACCTGGCCAGCCCTTCTTATTGATATTCCAGCAATGAATCAGTGGATGAAGATCTCTGTCTTTCTCATTCTCACTAACTTTGCCTCTCAAGTAAAAATAATCATTTTTTTAAAAATAATTTAAAAATTTGAAAATTAAGGGTGAGCATGAGAGCTGCATTAGTAAGGGGTAAAAGAAAAAGAAACTTCCTCTATTTGCATAGCAATCAGCTTTCCCTCCAAAGAATGCAGTTATACCATTCATTATTCTCCTTTGTCCTAGCAACCATCACTGTGTCTAGCACATAATAGTTATGAAATAAATAAAAATTTCACCTTTATTTTATTTTCATTTTTTGGTGCAGCTATAAATGGCTCCTGCATTTTTTTAAATTTCAAAATATTCATTGTTAAATATTCATTTACTTTGCTTTGCCTGATCTATCTGGCTAGAGATTTAGATTTGATTGACTTATCAATTTTCTATTTCAATGTCATTGATTCCTATTCCTATATTTATTCCTTCCTTTTTTCTCTTTTCGTATTTATTTTCCTCTCCTTATTCATGTTTCTGAAGGTAGCTCAGTTAACTGAGATCAGTAATTAGAAAGTTTTGTTTCTGTTTGCATGTATGTATTTAATGCCACAGATTTTCTTCTAAGCACTGCTTTTGCTGCATCCCAGAAAAGTTTATGTATTGAGTTTTCAAAGATTCATTTGATTTATCTGAAAGGCAGAGTGAGAAAGACAGAGCAAGATCTTCCATCCGCAGTTTACTCCTAAATAGCTTCAACGGCTGGCTCTGAGACTGGCTGCAGACAGACCTAACCAGGCCTCATAAGTGGGAGGCAGGATCCCCAATACTTGGCCATCTTCCACTGCTTTCCCAGGAAAATGGTCAGGAAGCTGGGTTGGAAGTAGAGCAGCCAGGATTCAAAGTGGCACTGTGACACGGCTGTCAGTAGGCCAAACCGTGGCTTAACCTGCTCTGCAACAAGGCCATCCCTATGCTTTCTTTGTATTCAAAATATTTTGCAACTGGTTTTGTGAATTTCTCTTTGACCCACAGGACATTCAGATGTGTGCTGCTCAATTTCTAAATACTTGTAGATCTTCCACATATTTTTCTGTTACTGATCTCCAGCTTCATTCCATAATGGCCAAAAAAAAAAATCTTATATGATTCCAATTCTTTCGAATTTGTTGAGCTTTATGGCCAGATCATGAAGCATCTTGGTGAAGATGCCAAAATACTTGAAAAGAAGACATATTTTGCCATCATTACTTGGCATGTTTGCCACATGTCAATCAGAAGAGTTGGCTGATATGCTGCCCAGGTGTTCTATGCCTTTAGTGGTGCTCTGCCTACTAGTTCTCCTGATTACTGCAAAGAGTATTAAAGTTTACAACTGTAATTGCAGATTTATTGATTTATCCTTTTTATTGCATTTTGCTTCATGTATTTTAACATTGCTGTCAGTAATACACATATTTAGGGCTGACTGCAGAAGCCTGGTGGCTGAAGACCTCACTTTCCATACAAGTACCAGTTTGTGTCCTGGCTATGCCACTTCCCTTCCAGCTCCCTGCTTGTGGCCTGGCAAAGCAATCAAGGATGGGCCAAAGTCTTGGGACCGGGCATTTGTGTAGGAGACCTGGAGGAGGCTCTGGTTCCTGGGTTCGGATCAGCTCAGCTCTGGCTGTTGAGGTCACTTGGGGCATGAACCAGTGGATGAAGGATCTTTGTCTCTTCTTCTCTCTGTAAACCTGACTTTCCAATAAAAATAAAATCTTTTAAAAAATGCATATTTACAATTGGTATGTTTTTTTGGTGAACTGATCTCTGTATAATTATATAGTATCTCTCTCTATTCCTAGAAAATTCTTTGTTCTGAAGTACATTTCATCTGATACTAATTTAACCATATCAATTTTTTACTGATTTATGTTTCCATGGCATATCTTTTTCCACCCTTTAACTTTTGTATTATTATATTTACAGTGGGTTTCTTATAAAACATACATAGGTAAATCTTACTTTATCATGTAACTTGACAATATCCAATCTTTTAATTGGTACAGTCAGACCACACACATTTAGTGCAATCATATGCTTGGATTAAAAGATACCAGTAAATACAATGGTAATAGTCTCCTATTCAGGAGTTTCCAAATTTTAGCTATTCTACTAAGAATTTGAGCATAATACCTCTTTCATTCAGAGCAACACCATTAGCTAGTAATATCATTCTGATTTATGAATGAGGAATGGAGGTTAGAGGGGTAGATGGTTTAGTTCCTAAGGTGCCAGAGCTCCTGAGTGTTAGCATCAGAATTAAAATATACCTCCTTTGGGCTTTGTCTTTCTCTCTCTCTCTCTCTAAGGCAGATGTACAGAGAGAAGGCGATACAGAGAGAAAGATCTTTGATCCACTAGTTCACTCCCCAAGTGGCTGCACCAGCTGGAGCTGAGCCAATCTGAAATAAGGACTCAGGAGCTTCTTCTGGGTCTCCCAAGTGGGTGCAAGGTCCAAGGCTTTGGGCCGTCCTCGACTGCTTTCCCAGGCCACAAGCAGGGAGCTGGATGGGAAGTGGAGCTGCCGGGATTAGAACCGGTGCCCATATGGGATCCTGGTGCGTTCAAGACAAGGACTTTAGCCACTAGGCCACGCCACTGGGCCCTAAATCTAAGGTCCTTAATATTTTGCTCTATGATGTCTCCTAAGAATTTTATAATTTTAATTCTTACATAGTTCATTAATTTATTATGACCTAATTTTGCATATGATGTGAGGTAACAGTGCCATCCTAATTCATGTGGAAATCTGATTGTCGGGCCCGGCGCGGTGGCGCAAGTGGTTAAGGTCCTCGCCTTGCACGCCCGGGATCCCATATGGGCACCGGTTCTATCCTGGCAGTCCCGCTTCCCTTCCAGCTCCCTGCCTGTGGCATGGGAAAGCAGTCAAGGATGGCCCAAAGCTTTGGGAACCTGCACCTGCGTGGGAGACCCGGAAGAGGCTCCTGGCTTCAGATCGGCATAGCATCGGCCATTGTGCTCACTTGGGGAGTGAATCATCGGACGGAAGATCTTCCTCTCTGTCTCTCCTCTCTGTATATCCGCCTTTCCAATAAAAAAAAAAATAAAAATAAAATCTTTTTAAAAAAATCTGATTGTCAAACTGTCACTTGTTAAAGAAACTATTCCTTGGCCAAATGGTTATAGATAAACGTGTTTTAGGCCAGGCCATGGCCCAACAGGGTAATTCTCCACCCTGTCACACCAGCATCTCATGTGGGTGCTGATTTTTGTCTCAGCTGCTCCTCTTCTAATCCAGCTCTCTCTGTATGGCCTAGAAAAGCAGTGGAGTATGACTCAAGTCCCTGGGACCCTCCACCCATATGGGAGACCTAGAGGAGGCTCCTGGCTTTAAATCAGCTCAGCTCTGGCCACTGCAGCCATCTAGGGAGTGAGCCAGCTGATGGAAAACCTTCTCTGTCTCTTCTTCTCTTTATACATCTAAGTTTCAAATAATAATAGATAAATATTTTTGAACGAGTTTTTATCTGAACTCTGAATTCTATTCTGCAAATTTATGAGCTGATTTTCTCATATTTCACCTAATGCTTATGATTATTTCTGTATCATAAATAAGGAAACTAAGATATCAATGTCATTAGTTAACCCAGTTACCCATGGTCACACATTCTACTAAGTGGCAGAACCAAAACTACACTGCAGGTCTGTAGGATTCGATATTGTATGTTTATCTTACTCTGTTTTGTGTCGGGCTTTACATACAAGTTTGAAATGTCTTTGGGCCATCAGAGAGACAGATTCTGTTTGCATTTGAAAATAATCATAAAGATCAGAAAAGAGCTAGCAATAAAGAGGAAGTGCTAATCTAACCTTCACCTGAAAGTAGTTGAGTCCACAGGCGGTGAAAGAGTGCCTAAAGACTACCTAAATGAGGAGACCTACGTCCGTACCACAAATGGAATTCCAAGACATAACAACATTCAGGAGTTGCAAAGAAGACGAGGAAAAAAGATTTAGGGAGAATCCTGGTTAGAAAGCCAGAAAGAAAAACTTGCGTGTCTTCATTAGACTTTAGAATCAATGAGGGCAAGTACCACCTGCATCTTGTTTATCTGTTTGCAGTGTCTAACACTGATGGTCCATATGGATCCTCAATTAATATCTACTGAACAGAGTAACAGGTTAGTGCTAACGCTTCAGGAGGAGAATGTATTCAAGAACAGGGATGCCATTCAAGAGCAGAAAGTGCTTTTGAAAAGACAGGGAAGGGACTGGTGCAATAGCCTAGTGGCTAAACTCCTTGCCTTGCATGCGCTGCGATCCCTAATGAGTGTTGGTTCCTATCCCAGCTGCCCCGCTTCCCATCCAGCTCCCTGCTTGTGGCCTAGCAAAGCAGTCGAGGACAGCCCAAAGCCTAGGAAAACCCAGAAGAAGCTCCTGACTCCTGTCTTCAGACTGGCTCAGCTCCAGCTGGTGTGGCCACTTAGGGAGTGAACCAGTGGATGGGAGGATCTTCCTGTCTGTCTCTGCTCCTCTCTGTATATCTCTCTTTCCAATAAAAACAAACAAATCTTAAGAAGAAAAGACGGGGAAAGATGTGAAAAATAACTACTTCAATGGGCAACAAGAAAGTCAAGGATAACCCACAGAAAGAACACTCAGTGGGGTAACCAGGTCGTAGGCTAAGAAGTAAATAGAAAGTCAGCAAGAACAGAAAGCAAGCAAGAACTATTAAGAAGTTGATAAATAAGTCAGTAGCTACAGAACTGTCAGTTATGTTTTGGATATCATTTAGACAGAAATTTCAGTTCACTTACAAATATGGATTATCATTTACGTTAACACTTTTGTATATAAAAATCTATAAAATGATTTGCAATCTTTTGCACAATATATATGTATGAACGGATTTTGGGGGAAGGGTGAGGAATTTATTATACTTTTGAATAAGAATTTCCAAATCTTTAGGGCTATGTAAGTTGTCTGTTTATAGTATATGGAGAAAGTACTGATGAGGGAAACAACAAAATACAAACCTGTCTAGAAAAATAGGAATGGGCTATTTCAAAGCACTACTAGGAAAGGAAATTGAAAACTACTTTTGTAACTAAAATAATCTTTCACTTTTAGTACAGATTACTCAAGAGGAAAATCTATCTAAATACTAAGTTTGAGAATGATGTTCTATATACTCTCAAATATTTTACATTTCATATTTGTGCCAATATTTTAAGTGTGTCACTTTAAGCTTTGCTTACTAATGTAGTTTTTAAATGGTATACATAAAAAACAACAACAAAATTTCACATCCGTTTTTTACCATTTGGATTTTATAAGTGATCGTTAAGATACTTTCAGATTAGGCCTAAGCAAAACAAAATGTGAACATTATTAAACCAAGAAGTAATGTATAAATCACAACAGAAACTATGAGGGAGAATACATTTCCTACAAGTTGGAGCGCGAGGGAAAACAATGTTGAGTGGGCAGAAGCAGGTAGGCACACAATTCCTAATCATGGCCACTAGATGGTGCAAACTTACAGGATTTAAACTGAATGATTTTTTTAAGCCCCTAAGGTTTTTAAGAAAAATCTCCAAATAAATTAAACCTACTTCATCTGGGAAGAAGAAGAAATTTTTTGTGCCATTTTTGATTGCAGGATGATGTGCAGATGTATGCATATTTTTGTTGTTTCACATTTTGTTCCGTTCGAACTTACATGTTTCACAAAGACACTGTAGTCCTGACAGGCACCCTGCACACAGCTAAATGGCATTTGGTAAGAAGGTGGTGGTAATGATAGCACACTTTCACTGTCCCCAAACTATCTCAATTCTAGTATTGTTGCAAAAATAAAGTATAAGAGTGAATCACTATAAGAAACATTCTAGGGCCCGGTGGCATGGCCTAGCAGCTAAAGTCCTCGCCTTGAGCGCACCAGGATCCCATATGGCCGCCGGTTCTAATCCCAGCAGCTCCACTTCCCTTCCAGCTCCCTGCTGTGGCCTGCGAAAGCAGTCAAGGACAGCCCAAAGCCTCGGGATCCTGCACCTGCGTGGGAGACCTGGAGGAAGTTCCTGGTTCCCGGCTTTGGATCGGTGTAGCATCGGCCGTTGCGGCCACTTGGGGAGTGAATCATCGGATGGAAGATCTTCCTCTCTGTCTCTCCTCCTCTCTGTATATCTGACTTTGTAATAAAAATAAGTAAATCCACAAAAAAAAAAAGAAAGAAAGAAACATTCTATCCTCAAACCAATGGTAATTTGAAAAATACTCAATTGCTTGGAGACCTGCCTGGGCAATAAGAAGTACTTACTTGAGTGCGGGGGCCAGGACTCTGGGTAATCACCACCTGCTTGAGCTCTGGGGGACTTGCCTCGAACCTGAAGGAGCCACATAAAAGAAAAAATTATATACATTTTTCTATAATTTCTTCTTCCAATCTTGTCAAATTGAACATGTTTATACCAGCAATATTCATGTATATTTCTAAAACACTTTATAGCTTCTGGTGCATTTTCCACATATCTTCCTGTCTAGTGTCAAGGTTGTCCAGTGGCAGGAGAGAAAAGAGGCACAAATTAACACAGAGACCTTGGAGGTGGGGTGGGGGCGTGGCGGATCAAGAGCCATGTCCCTTAGACAGAAATGCAGTTGCTGGGAACAGGAGTTCCCATGAACTCCTTTCCTGGATTGTTGTACCATAATGAACAGACAGCTCCACTGAGAGGAAAAGCAAAGAAAAAAGACATTGGTAACCTTTGGCAGGATCTTTCATTTTCCCTAATTTTTTTTTTTTGGTAAGATATTTTCTAGCACTTCCTTCATCGACATTGATATTTTTATTATTTACTGATTTATATTTATTTACTAGAAAGAACTACACAGAGAGAAGGAAAGACAGAGAAATCTTCCACCCACTACTCAGTCCCTAGATGGCCAGTTTTGGCTGCGACAGGCCAAAACCAGGAGCCAGGAGCTGCATCCGGGTTTCCCATGTAGGTAGCAGGGAATCATCTCCCACTGCTTCTTCCAGGGTGTTATCAGGAAGCTGGATTGCAAGTGGAACAACGGTAACTTAACCCTGACTCTGCCACATTAACATTTTAAAAATATTTTTATAAAGATTTGCTGTATTTTTACTTGAAAGGCAGAGTTACAGAGAGAGACAACAAGTGAAAGAGCGGTCTTCTTTTTGCTGGTTCACCTCTCAAATGACCACAGCAGCTAGAGGTAGGCCAGTGTGAAGCCAGGAGCCTCCTCCTGGTCTCCACGTGAGTGCAGGGGTCCAAGTACTTGAGCCATCCTCCACAGCTTCCCAAGGCCACGAGCAGGGAGCTGAGTCAGAAGTGGAGCAGCTGGGGTATGAACCAGTACCCATGGGATGCCAGTGCTACAGGTGGAGGCTTAACCTACTCTGTACCATGGCACAGGGCCCCGCATTAATATTTTCAAAAATAGGCTTGCTCAGGAGCTTGCCCAAGAGAGCTACCAGAGTGAAGACATTACCTTTCTTTCTTGTTTCTTCTGCGTCTCCATGACATGCAAGCGCTCCATGAGGCTGGAGATGCCCTGCTCCAAGCTGTCAATGGTGTGGTGCTGAGGATCGTGACCACTGAAGCTGTTGCGCAGGCTGCGGAGAGCATCACGAACCAGCTGCAGGTCACTGCTCTGTGGGCAAAAGCAAGGTGCCATCAGCATAGCCCGGAGCCATATTATCATAACACACCTAACAACTGGAGAAAACAGAGAGGAACCCAGAGGAACCCAGAATAGATCTTTCATTGCTGAGAAGATGTGATTGGTAGGAAATTTTCCTCCACAAAGGCAGGCCTAGTGTGTGTCTTGAGTTTGTAGAACAAGTGCCTTCAATCTTTATATACACAACAGATGCAAGGATAAGGGAACTGTGAGATAAAAAGCCTAGTCCACTGGGAATGGTTAGGACATTCTTCTGGTTTCAGTTAGAAGTGGCAAGCTTGCACCCAAATCCTAGGGACCTACCCCTCTGTGGGTGATGGAAGTAGTTCCTTTTCCTGCCGTTGGAAAGAGAAAACCATTGCTTTCAGAGTTGTGACTACTGCAGTAGGTCACCTAGAGCAGCAAAAAGAAATGAGACTAGTTAAAGAGAGAATTCCAAGCCAAGAGGTCTTTATTTTTCTTCTTTATGTCACTTCTTGACATTGCACATACTTTCTGTTTTTAATGTCTCTGTTAAGATGTAAGCTACATGAGTTTACATTTCTTCCCCTTTTTTCACTGCCGCATCATGTTGGATGTAGAAATAAAGAAATGACAACCTCCACCTATAGAAGACCCCCTAACTTGGACTCTTGACACAGTCACTGTGGAGACTCAGAACCCTGCACAAGCACCTCATGCCTTTGCTTTGGTAACAAAAACTAAGGACAACTTTTCATATTTTTTTAAGATAGACTCTGTGCCAGATGGACGACATGGAACTATATTTAGTTATTTATGGGGATGACCTTACATGTTCTTCCTAAAGGCAGAGAGGACAGCTATTATTCATATTTTCTACATGAGTCTTATCTTCAAGGTTCATAAGCTAAGCAACTTAAGGTTGCATAATACAGAACTGTTGTATAAAGATGGGTTTTAAAACTTCATGTTCTTATTCTGGAATCTATAGGAACTCAACCCTCTTGCCAAAACAGTCATCTAATAAACTGGCCTATGGCCTGGGTTCAGCTCTCTTAAGTCAGAAAAACAATCTTTTTGTCTTGTAAGCGAGTCCTGGGTTACCTCATCTGCCTCTCTCTTCATACAATGAGCCAAAAGGACATCTTTGTGCTCCAGCTCCCGTTCTAGATCCACCTGCAGGGCAGAGGCTCTATTAGAAAAGGATTTCTGCTGGGCAAAGGGGAAGGGATGTCAGAGGCTAACTGTTCTCACCTGCTGGTAATTGGCATCTGAGAGTTTCCGGAGTGCTTCTTCCAACTTGGCCTGGTGCTGCTGCAAGAGGCGATCCTTCTGCCCCAGCTCTTTCTGCAACAGAGACAGAGCTTTCAGATGTGTGGCAGAACCAAGGACACTCAACAGCTCCCCCTGGGAAGGGAAGGTTCTGCCACAGGAAAGCAGAGCCTCATGGCAGAATCTCCCACAGTGCCTGGGACTCTAGATAAAGAGAGCAGCAGGATTCCCATTTATGGTTTCTCCTTGCCACCCATGCTGATTCGAGATAAAGGCAAGACTAGAACTCTGGCTTCAGACTCCTACTTCTACAAACTATGGTGTGCATTCTTCAGGGTTAGTGAGTCAAGGGCCAGAGAAAACAATTATCTTCCATAAAAAAGGGTGATAACAGGATAACTAAGTAGTCTTCAAACAACAGCAGCAATGAGAAGGTCGGAAGGAAGCCATTTCCAAATCAGTAATCATCCTTACTTTATATTCTCCCAAAAGCTGATTCCTCTCATCTAGCTTCCTCTGCAGATCCACCTGCAAAAGTAAGAACAAGTGGCTGGCATGAAGGTGTTGTTCACAAAGACTCAAGAAAGCCAGCAGCTAAAAATTAAACGTGAGCTCCTAGCTCACACAGACTTTGAAACCCCAAAGTCATGAGTTGGTGCAGACTTGATCCAATGATGCTGTCTAGAAGGTGGGGCCTGATGGGAGTTCCTTAGATCATGAAGGGCCATGCCCTCAGAAGGTACTTCTCAGGAGAGGGTTGGTTCTATAAGCCTGAACTGGGCCTGACTGCTCTTGCTTTGTTTCTGGCTCGCCATGTGAGCATTCTTCTGTATTCATTTTGCCATTGCCATCCTCTGGCCTCCCCAGACAGCTGAACCAACGCGGCCAGCCATTGTGGGACTGGGGCTATGAGCCTTCAGAACTGTATGCCAAAACAAACTTCCTTCATTCCTAAGAAACTTGTCTTGGGTATCTGCTAGGGTGACAAAAAGCTATTCAATAATCAGAGTTAATGCTGGTAGTTACAGTACACAGCACAGAGAGGGTGTGACTATGGAAACAATATATGATTTCTATTGATATTCTTTAATGAAATCATTGGACCGTAGAACCACAATTTAGCCTCACCCTCACTATAGTAGAAGGGTTCCAGGACCTTCAGCATGACACGACTTTCTACCTAAGAGTGGAATCTGACAGGGAATAAAATGCAGACAGTGAGTGCAGGCAATCCAAACACAAAAGAAGGGGGACAAGCATGGTAGACATCACAGCACCTCACACACTATTCTGTTAGTGGGAACCAACAAGGTCAGAGGTCATACACTCAACTCACATTCTGGTTGTGCAGCTCATCTCTGTCCATATTTGCCCTCAACAGTTCTTGTTTGAGTTGCAGAACTGATGTATCCTGCTGAGCCAATCTCTGCTGCAAGGCATCCTGGGGGAAGAGAGCACACTAATTACTGTGATCTCCATTAAATTAATCAGCCAGTTATTACTAACTCATTTACTGTGTAACCAGAATCGATTCCAAGTGGGAGACCAAAATAGTACAGATCTTGTCATAAGTTGCTGATCTGATGTCCTTAAGGATACTAGTATCTAAAGGAAGACCCTACTTACTGTCTTATCAGGGGACTGAAATCAGATTTTCCTTCTGTCTACATTTACTCCTACCCTTGCTTCATTTCTGAGAGCACGGATCCTGGGGACACAATGAGTGGCCTTTGGGAACAGATAACCTTAGATTTAAATTGTAAATCTACCATTCACTACTTTTGAGATACTTACACTTCCTCCCATCTTGGCTTCCTCATTTATATCTTGGGCATATAAATACTCAAGCTGGATTAAGTCTTCTTTCTTGTGCTTCTTTTCTTGGATGCCTTTCCTAGAGGAATAGGCCCTATTCCTGCCTGCCACCCTGCCATAAGGAATCCCTGAATTCCCTCCTATGCTGGTTTCTAGGATCTGCTGCTGTCCTACTTCCTCTGGCTTCCAACACTTGTTCTGGACCAGGATTGGAATTACATTTCTGCTGATCAGAACTGATGGCTCCTCTTCCTAGTTCTCCTAAGATCTTAACAGCCCTAAGCTATCTTTCCCAAAGGTTGAACTCTCTTAGTTCCTACCACAGCTAAGAAAAAGTGTAACAGGTACATTTATTTAAAAGGCCAATTATACACATTCCTGCAGTCATGGAGACCTCAAATTGAACCTACACGAAGGCTTCGTTCCACCATATTTGTCCTCAATTTTCTCTTTACAGACTGAAAAGAAATGGTATAAGGTCTAGAGGATGTAGAAGCCTTTTTTTTTTTTTTTTTAAGATTTATTTGTTTTAAAAGGCAAGGACAAAGAGAAAGAAAGAGACACAGAGATATTTCATCTGCTGGCTCACTCCCCACATAGCAAGTGACAAGCCAGGAGCCAGGAACTGTAGCCAGGCCTCCTGCACAGGTGGCAGGAACTCAAATACTCAAATCTTCATTAGCTCTCTCCAGGTTTGCTGTCAAGGAGCTGGACTGGAAGCACAAGAGATGGGATTCAAACTGGCACTCTAATACAGAATGTGTATGTTTTGAAAACAACATTTTAACCCACTGTGGCACAGTGCACAACCCTGAAGCCCATTCTTCCTATATGTGTGTGTATATGTATATGTTTTATTTGGCCTTGTGCAATAGCCTAGTGGCTAACTCCTTACCTTAAATGCACCAGTTCGTATCCTGGCTGCTCCACTTCCCATCCAGCTCCCTGCTTGTGGCCTGGGAGAGCAGTACAGGATGACCAAAAGCCTTGGGATCCTGCACCCACATGGGAGACCTAGAAGAAGCTTTTGGCTCCTGGCTTTGGATTGGCTCAGCTCCAGCCATTGCAGCCACCTGGGGAGTGAACCAGCAGATGGATGATCTTTCTGTCTCTCCTCTCTGTAAATCTGCCTTCCCAACTTAAAAAAAAATTTAAGAAAATATCTTTTAAAAATTATTTAAAATGTAGAGCTACAGAGAGCTGGAGAAAGAAAGAGAATTTCCATCTGCTGACTCATTCCCCAAATGGCCAGAAAGACCAGAGTGGCCTCAGGTAGAAGCCAGGAGCCAAGACTTCCGGATTTCCCACATGCATGCAGGAGCCCAAGTACTTGGGTCATCCTTCACTCCTTTCCCAGGCACATCAGCACGGAGCTGGAGCAGATGCAACTTGAAACCAGTGCCCATAAGGGATGCCAGCATGACAGGTGATAGTTTAACCTACTATGTCTCAATACTGTCCCCTGAAGCCCATTCTTAAGTGTGCAGTCTGTCATAACAGTATATGGTAAATGTGGTAGAAGAGGCTCCTGGCATCAACAATTTAGAGAAACAGTTCCCAGCAGGTGCTCTAACAGATGCTGATGAATTACATGGGAGAAGAAGCCTCCGTGGTTAATAATTCTAAACCTTTCAGGCTTACATATTTATAACAGACATCCTTTAGTCTTTTAATATGCTATTACTCACTGTGAGTCTTCAAGCCCATTAGGTGTTTCTCAAACTTATATGACCACAGGGCTTATCCGCTGTTTGAAAAGTTTCAAACCACTTAGGTTCAGACTATGTTTCTGGAAAATATTGCTGAGTTACACTATAGGCTAGTCCAAGTGAGTTACACTTTGGGAAAAAAACTGCTCCTGAAAAACATAGTTGGCACTGTGGTGCAGCCAGTTAAGCTGCCACTTGCAATAACAGCATCCCATATGGGGATGCCAGTTAGTGTTCTGGCTGTCCTGCTTCTGATCTAGCTCCCTGCTAATGTGCCTGAAAATGGCCGAGTGTTGTGGCCCCTGCCATTCATTCGGAAGATCCAGATGAAGTTCCTGGTTCCTAGCTTCAAACACTCTCCTGCCTGGTTGTTGTGGCCATTTGGAGTCAGTGGATTCTCTGTATTTCCCTCTCTTTGTCATTCTGCCTTTTTTTTCTTAAAAACATTTCATTGTATTTATTTAAAAGCCAGAGATTCTCTCTCTCTCTCTTCTCTGAGTCATGTGTGTGACATACACACACACACAATTTTTCTATCTGCTGGTCCATTTGCCAAATGGCTAAGGCTGAGCCAGGTCAAAGCCAGGAGCCAGGAATTTCATCCAAATCCCCCATGTGGATAGTGGCTTAACCTGCTGCACCACATGCCAGCCAGCTCCTGTCACTATGCCTTTCAGATAAATCTTAAACACACACACACTCACAATGTATATTTTCTACTTCTAGGTATTTATTCAGCAGCTACACAAATATTCCGGCTTGAGAAAATACATTTAAGGTCATTAGCGAGTTCACTGTTTACACTAACAGAGTGCAGAAATAAGCCAGAAATAATATTAATAGTAGACTGAGCTGATAAATTATCATATACACATATACCAAAATATTGTATATAGCCATAAAAATACCTAGCAAGGTCCATATACACTGAAATAGAATGACCTCCAAGATACACTGCTAAATTGAAAAAAAAAAAAAAAACAGGTTGTCATGCTGTATCTAGAGGATACTACAATGTGGATAAAAATGTGGGGCATGGAAAACTTGGAAAAAGTGGGCTTCCGACTGATTGATTTCTAAGTGATATAGCCATTTGGGGAATGAACCAGTAGATGAAAAATTCTCTCTCTCTCTCTCTCTTTCTGCAGCTCTGACTTTCAAGTAAGTAGGGCCTAGCATGATGGCTCAACTGGCTAATCCTCTACTGCCAAGCACTGGCATCCCTATTTGAGGAGTGAACCAGCAGATGGAAGATCTTTTTCCCTGCCTCTCCTCTTCTCTATAAATACACCTTTCCAATAAAAATAAATAAATCCTTAAAACCAGTAAATAAAGCTTTCTTTTAAAAATGTGTGTGGGTAAATGATGCATGCATTATGTGCTAACAACTAATAAGCTTCCTCCAGGAAAGACAACTGGATGACTGGTTGTAGGACAAAGGCTGGCAGGTTGACTTTTCAGTTTAACCTTTTGTACATTGACCCACTGGAATGTTATTAATGATCCAAAAACTAAACAAATTATAATCTCTGTCTAAAAAGGGCATGCTTTCAAACTGAAGAGGACATTCTACATAAAGACACAAACAAGAGACACAGAGGGAAGCAGCAGTCCCAGAGGGAAGCCTAGCAAAACAAAGGTCCAGTGCTCAGGGGTCTGACTTTTCCCAGGAGCACAGGGCCTGCCCGAGGCCCCTAGCAAATTCCAACCATCCTGCTCAAGGCTCACCATTCACAGACACACCCCCTCACAGAGTGTTTTGTTTAAAGAATCAAGTGTCTTCCTTTTTACCTTTATCCCCTGCAAGTTTCTGGCTTCCTGTTTACACTTCAGCAGCTCCTTCTGCAAACCAAATATAGTTAGATCAGATGGCAGCATCTGGACTGCTTCAGAAGCATGACCTCACTCCGTCAGCCAGCAGACAAAACCCAGTTACCATTCCACCAAAAATTAACCCTCTGCTGAATTACTGACTCAGTACCCAGAATAGGCTGGCAGTGGAAACAAACAGAACCCATCCGCATGGGTCTCTGGGGCACCCTGGCCACACTGCCTAGGCAGAGAGGAGTCTCACCAAGGAAGAAGACACCCATTTCCACAGGCTCACCACAGCCAGCATGCTCCACCACCAGGAAAGTCTATACCCTTTTCACGAAAGTTGAGGATCACAAGTAACTATGCCTGTCCCCAACGATGAAACAGCCAGCCCACTCCGCAATGTTCAGCAAGAGTTATGGTGTTTCTGAGTCTCCAAGAAGGTACTGATCTCTGTGGCCCAAACAAAAATCTGCCACCTGATTAATTATCCATTAAAATACATTAAATACAGATATATGACTGTCATTAGTAAAGAAATTTTAGAAGAAGCACACTCAGACTATGTTCTCTTTTTTTTTCCAACTGCTTTAACATATGCAAAAGTGAGATCCTTAATGTCTCCTCAGAGGTGCTCAAGAATTCCTCTACTAGAAATTCAGATCTGGGAGTATGTTTATGCACGTGTATTGGGAAAGGGTTAAAACATACACTACAGGGCCCGGCGCGGTGGCGCAAGTGGTTAAAGGTCCTCGCCTAGCACGCCCGGGATCCCATATGGGCGCCGGTTCTAATCCCGGCAGCCCCGCTTCCCTTCCAGCTCCCTGCCTGTGGCCCGGGAAAGCCAGTCGAGGACGGCCCAAAGCTTTGGGACCCTGCACCCGCGTGGGAGACCTGGAAGAGGCTCCTGGCTTCGGATCGGCATAGTATCGGCCCGTTGCGCTCACTTGGGGAGTGAATCATCGGACGGAAGATCTTCCTCTCTGTCTCTCCTCTCTCTGTATATCCGCCTTTCCAATGAAAAAATAATAAAAATAAATCTTAAAAAAAAAAAAAACATACACTACAAATTCAAACAAAAAGAAGAAACACTGCTGTTTCAGAATTGTGTGAAGTAGTCATCAAAAAAGCCACACTTAGATCCATTTTTTTTCTGTTAGGTTACATCAACGAATATTTTGGTTAATATTGGGAACCATTTCAAAAAGGTACAATCAATAATGCTATATATTATATATATACCAAAATCAGAAAAGTATGACATATTTGGGCTATACCTCTCTTTCAATCAAGGACATAATACAGATACAGCCAGCACTCCAATTCCCATCACATCTCTGTTAATTTTCCTGAATTTAATCTGTAACATTCTCACATTTTTTGCAAAGGATAAAACATGCATGTCCTAACCTACCTTTAGGTCTTGATTTTCCTCCAGACTCTGATCCAGGCGACTTTGGATTATGATCTGAATATAAGACAACAAAGATGCTTATGCTCAAAGACTGTGAAGTCCAGAGGCCAGCTGGTCAGCAAATATTTATTGAGCACCTACTAGATACAAAGAACAGCAAACAAGTGCTGCCTCTGATGGAAGCCTGTGCCCACGAGTGCAGCAGGTAGATCAATATGGACAATGCTGAGAATTCACATGTGTGTGGTGAAGGCAGGGTAGGGTTGAGGAAGAAGAAATGGCAAGGGACAAAGTTGGAGAGGAAAACAGGGACCAGACCACAAAGTGCAAATGAGTGCAATAGGGTCATTGATGGAATGTTTCGTGCAAACAGGTGACAAGGTGAGGAGTCTGCTTTAGAGTCTCCGGCCTCTGAAAGCTGAATGTGCCCCAGAAGCACAGGTGTCAAAAGCTTGGTCCCCACAGTGGTGGGAACCTTTCAGAGGTGGGGGTCTAATGGCAGGTACCTAGGTTACTCATGGGGTGCCGCAGAGGTCATTCTTAAGTGATCTATTGAGTTCTCATGACGATGTTATAAAGGCTTGAGTTTTTGAGTCCATCACTCTCTGTTCCCGGCTCCTCCAGTACATGGAGCCAAACTAGCAGCCATGCTATTTAGACTTTGATCCTCCAAAACTGAGCTACATAAACCTTTTCTGAGTGTAAGTTAGCAGACCCAGGAATTTTGTGAAAATAACAAAAGACTTACTAATATAGTAAGTTATTTTCATGTTTCACAGAATATGAATCAGATGAGGACAAGGAAGCAATGTGAAAAAAATCAGTTAAAAGGCCCTAGGTTACAGATGATGGCCTGAGTTAAATAAGGGGTTTATGACAATGAGGAAAATAAGATTAAGATATTAAAAAGGCAAACTGAGTGCCTGACATGGTAGCCTAGGGGCTAAAGTCCTCGTCTTGCACTGGGATCCCATGTGGGAGGTGGTTCATTTCCTGGCTGCTCCATTTCCCATCCAGCTCCCTGCCTGTGGCCTGGGAAAGCAGTCGAGGACGGCCCAAAGCCTTGGGACTCTGCACCCACATGGGAGACCTGGAAGAAGCTCCTGGCTCTGGTTTCAGATCGACTCAGCTGCAGCCGTTGCGGCCACTTGGGGCTGTAAATCTGACTTTCCAATAAATATAAATAAATCTTTAAAAAAAAAAAAGAAGAGGAGTAAGAAGATGCCAGTGTTGTAGCATATGGGGTTAAGCTACCACCTACAGAGCTGGCATCCATCCCATACACAAGTGCCTGTTGGAGTCCAAGCTGCTCTGCTCTGACTGCGCTTCCTGCTTATGTATATGGGACCCCTGACACCTATGTGATTTCAGAATGGAGTGAGAGGCTCCTGGCTTTGGCCTGGGTTCAGCCCTGAATGCTGTGCCCATCTGGGGAGTAAACCAGGGGGTAGAAAATCTCTTTTTCTGTCACCCTGCTTTATAAATAAGTCCTTAAAGAAAGAATATTCAAGGAAGGTATCCATATTACAATATTTCTATTTGGGCCATTTGGATAGATACATCTGAAACAGACATCCAAAACACAAGTAGTGGGTCCAGTGCAGTAGCCTAGTGACTAAAGTCTTCACCTTGCATCCACTGGGATCCCATATGAATGCCAGTTCGTGTCCTGGCTACCCTACTTCCCATTCAGCTCCCTACCTGTGGCCTGGAAAAATAGTCTAAGATGGCCTAAAGCCTTGGGATCTTGCACCCACATGAGGACCTGGCTCCTAGCTTCAATTAGCTCAGCTTCAGCCATAGGGGCCACTTGGGGAGCAAACCAGTGGATGGAAGATCTTTATCTCTGTCTCTCCTTTCTCTGTATATCTACCTTTCCACTAAGAATAAATAAATCTGAAAACAAAAAAGACGAGTATTTTGGTGGTGATGGTTTACCGGACTATAAAAAATAACTTTGAGGACTCATGGAAATTGAGATGTTAATGGGACATTAATGTGTAAACTGCATAAAGAAATCCTGAACTCCTTAGAGAGAGAGCTGAGCTGGAAATAAATGAGGAACAGGTGGGACGTGAGCAAAAACATGGAGACAAATAACACTGCCTCCCCAATGAATGCTTAAGACACATGAGGGCTCTGAATGCAGGGCCACCACAGTAAAGGGACCCGCCCAAAGAGAAGCTCCCAAGGAGACGTGAGGGAAACTCCACAATCATAAGGTCACAGGCCTGACTTCTCACCACCACATCTCCAGCAACTTCAAATAGTACCTGCCCGTGGTTGGTGCTTGACAAATATTTGTTGACTGACTCAATGAATGAAGAAGGGAAGAGCAGCCAATGTACAGGGGGAAAACGAGCAAGGAGATGCAGGGAGGAAGGAATACATCCCGGGAAGACACAGTCAGCGGGACAGAATGCTAAAATCAAGTCACATCCAATAAGCAGAAGTCAGAACACAAAAGATGGAGCTCTCACCAGCTGCTCCTCGGGGTTCACTCCTGGTTCACAGAGGGCCAGCGGCCTCTCCTGCTCATCTTCCGGTAAGGACCCGTGGAGCAGTAAAGCCTGAATAATCACAAAGAAAGAAAGAAAGAAGAAACTTCACTCCCCATCGGATGACTCAATTCAGAGTTGGCCTGGTAAGCTCATCAGAAGTGAAATCACAACCTGGCATCCTCTAGAAATTTCCTTGGTAAGTTTTGCTCCTGAAATATTTCCAATTGTACCTCTTAAAACTAGTTCCTTTTGCCAGGTCCACACTCTGGGCCTCTTTCATCCCCCTGGACACACATGAATCCTCTGCTCTAAGACTCCTTGGCCCCAAAGTAAACCAAACAGACATTCCTTGCAGAAATAACAGACACATTTCAAACGGGAGCTGCTCATACTGTTTTACCAGGTGGAATGTGATCTAACGAGAGGACAGAATTATCCCGACTTTGAAAATTTACTATGAAGAATCATTTTGAACACAATTAGAACACTGACTTCAGTTTATCTGATTTTTGTTTTCATAATTCTTCATTTTTAACTCCCAAAGGCCTGGACAGAACAAGAAGGAATACATATTTACAGAGAGCTGCCCTCTTTCATTTCAGCTCCTCAAACCAGGCTCTGCTTTCACTAGAATATTCCTTGGTAGAACAGGAAGGCAGCTTTACCCTGAATCTGAGGAAGCTCAAGTTCAGCCCCTCCCCAGACCTTATGCCTGACATTCTATTCATAATTTTAAATATTACACTGGAAGAAAGCCTCCTAAATCACATGTATGTGTACTTTGGGACTCATAAAACTTTGATCTGAGGCTGGTGTTATTACACTCTGGGTTATACCACTACACAGCTAGGAATGCCCGAATTCCATATCAAAGTGCCTGTGATCAAGTTCTTCCCCTGTTTCCAATTCAGCTTCCTGATAATGCAAACCCTGAGAGTCAGCAGATGATAGCTGTAACAGTAACTGGGCCCCTGACACAGACAGGAGACCCAGACTGAGCCCAGGTCCCCGACTTTGGTCTGGCCCAGCCCTAGCTGTTGCAGGCATTTAGACAATAAAACAAAGTAGGGGAATCACTCTCTTTTTAAAATGAAATATTTATTTTTGTTTATTTGAGAGGTGAGGTGATAGAGAGCAGCAGGGAGGGAAGAAACAGAGATTGTCCATATTCTGGTTCATTCCACAAATGGCTGCCACAGATGGAGCTGGGCCAGGTGGAGCCAGGAGCCTGAAACCTTACTTGGGACTCATTACATGGGTGGAAGTGACCCAACTGCTTGGACCAGCAGCTGCCTCTTTCCCAGAAACAGTGGCAGGGAGTTGGATCAGAGACAGAGAAGGTGGTTTTTCAAAACAGCACTCTGAAATGGGGTGCCTGTTTCACAAGTAGCGGCTTAACTTGCTTTACAACACCACTGGCACCTTCTCTTTTTCTGTTTCTCTTACTCTGTCTTTCAAATAAATAAACAAGAGAAAAAAAAAAAAACCTTGGAACCTCCCTCTGCAGGTAGGTATCATGAGACTTAATCAGCTCTGTGAAAGATTGGAAAATGTCTCTATTTTCTATCACACTTATGTCTCAGAGCTGTTCAGGCTTAGTCCTGTTTCAATAAACACTAACGTAAACTCATAAGTGAAACTTAAAATCTACCCAATGGTTTATCTACCAAAAAATAGTAAGAAAATTTTTCTAAGGCAAATGAATTTGGTTATCCTACGGAGTAATTTTAAGGGGCACAGACACAAGTTAGAAGCCACTGGGCTGTAGGGAGCTAAGAGAACAACATGAAATAATTATCAACTGTAATGTCAGCCATTCAACAAGCTCTAACTAAAGGCTGTTAATATGTCAGAAATCTTAGCTGGAGCTGAGCCTGCAACTTGCTCATCACTGAAAGAGTTAAAAAGCCCTGTAGATGCTCTGAGCCCCTTTGTATTCCACAATGGAACTGAATTCTCATTGTGATCATGTGGCTGTGAGTTAGAACTCTTCTGTTTGCAGGGAATATGAAAATGCTGACTTTCTGCCTGTCAATTCTCTTCGTTTTCTATCTAATCTGCCATCAAATTTCTTCCAGAATAAAAAATGCAAACCCAATTCAAAGCCAAAGTCATGAACATCTATGTTCATATAATGTAAATTATCCTGGAAAAACCTTGTTTGGGTATAATCCCAATATTCTACAGAAATACTTCCTATTAAAATACAGGGGAAAAAAAAATAACAACAAAGACACCTCCTTAAGGTATCCTTCACAGAAATGGCAGAAAAGGAATCTAAAAGGCCTCATCAGTCAGCCGTTCCAAAAGTACACAACTAACGGGAGGGAGGTGTAGCACCTGACAACTTTTTGTGGGTAACTGTTTCTACAATAAACATCCATCTCTCCAACCCTTCCCAGTTCTTGGGGTAAGTATGAATGCAAACTGTTGTACCACAGCACCAATCTCCTTTTTGCTTTAGGAACCCTTTGTGTTTCTGCCCTGTTGCTGACTGGCTGGGAGCACACCCTCCACCGCCTGCCGGCTGCCAGAGCCACACACATAATGTGGGCTTTGTTTACGTATCCATAAATATTTCACAATTCCGAAGCAGTGCAGCTCCCAGAACAAACAGAAAGGAATATACCTAGGCAATTCAGGGTCATCGGCCCACCACCGGGGCTCCCCAAAACCCAGACTGGATACACCAAGAGAGGAAAGAGGGAGTCATTCGGGGTGGAAGCCATGTCAAGTGGGTCAGTCAGTCTCTGGGGGATGTTTGCTGAGCTGACACTACAGGTACAGGAACAACTGAAGAGCTTTGTTACTCAAGGAAAACCTCTTCTACCTGCTCATTAAACCCTGGCATCCGTTTGCAAATGGCATAGGAGTGAGTAAAGTGCTTTAGCTAGACTAATGGAAAATGGATACCTGGCAGCACTTCTGGCTCTCACATCTTTCCTACTGGAGAACTCCTAGCAAAAAATCCCATCTATATTCACTGTGCCATTCTCTGCTGACAGCTACGACTGCAGGTCTGTAAGCACATGAGGGAGAGAAACCCACCTGCAAAGCAGAGTCAGCACAAGGCTTTCAGATGAACCAGTAGCGCCTGGGTTTGCAAAAATCCTAACAGCTGTGCTATAAACAATACCACCACCACCCAAGTCCATTTAAAGTGCTCACACAAGGAATTTTATTCTTTGGATCCTACTTCCTCTTTCTGAACTTTCCTTTCTGTTCTCATCTCCCATAAAACAAAAGTCAATTCACTTTCAGTTAATAACAATCAAGAGGTGCACCCGGGACAAACTACAAGGGCAAGAGCTACCTGTAGTCCTGATATCATTTTCTTTGCTTCTTCCATTTCTCTTTCTAGATGTTCCTGTTGTTCCAGCAGCTGTTCTTCCCATGGGGTCTGCAGATAAGCTCCAGGGCTCCCTGGCCTCCAGTCTCGGGATAATGGAGAATCTGTCTCCTCTGCAAAGTGAAAAGAGCGAACAGCACGGTTCATGTTGAAGAAAACTGATTTCTGGCACGAAGTGCTGGCAGCTTTAGGACACCAGCCTTCTGAACCTGTCCTCCCGGCACAACCTGGACTTTCCACCAGGTGGAGTTTGACGCATGAAGCGTTGGCAGTAACTCAAGCTCCAGGTTCCTAGCACCTTACTGCTGGTGAAATCTGGCCTCTTTCAACCCTGCAGAAGCAATAACACTCGATAATGGAGTCTTGGTTTGGAACTCACGGATCTTACTCCTGGGCCCCTAAACCAGGCATTTCCTGAGTCTGAGTTCACCAAGAAATGAGCTGTCAGTGCAACAAAAATAAAATTCCTCTTGGTTACTCTACAACTTTAGAGACCTTGATTCAATGACTTTGACCATTCAGCCATAACTGAACCCCTTTCAAATGTAACACTGGTGAGTCACACAGCAAACAAAGTAGTAAGAACATACTTACACAATTGCTAAATGTCTCCTTGCTTTTATTTTCCTGTTATTAAAATTTCTTGTCTCTATTCTCTTTGTCTATTTTATCCTGCCTAATTGCACATACAGCCATATAAAGTGCATTATGGGGCCCGGCGGTGTGGCCTAGCATCTAAAGTCCTCGCCTTGAACGCGCTAAGATCCCATATGGGCCCTGGTTCTAATCCCGGCAGCTCCACTTCCCATCCAGCTCCCTGCTTGTGGCCTGGGAAAGTAGACAAGGATGGCTCAATGCTTTGGGACCCTGCACCCATGTGGGAAACCTGGAAGAAGTTCCTGGATCTTGGCTTCGGATCGGCATAGCATCAGCTATTGCGCTCACTTGGGGAGTGAATCATTGGACAGAAGATCTTCCTCTCTGTCTCTCCTCCTCTCTGTATATCTGACTTTCCAATAAATAAATAAATCTTTAAAAAAAAATAAAGTAGGGCCCGGCATGGTGGCGCAAGTGGTTAAGGTCCTCGCCTAGCACGCCCGGGATCCCATATGGGCACCGGTTCTAATCCCGGCAGCCCCGCTTCCCTTCCAGCTCCCTGCCTGTGGCCCGGGAAAGCAGTCGAGGACGGCCCAAAGCTTTGGGACCCTGCACCCGTGCGGGAGACCCGGAAGAGGCTCCTGGCTTCGGATCGGCATAGTATCGGCCCGTTGCGCTCACTTGGGGAGTGAATCATCGGACGGAAGATCTTCTTCTCTGTCTGTCCTCTCTGTATATCCGCCTTTCCAATAAAAAAATAATCAAAATAAATATTTTTTTTTTAAAAAAGGGGAAGTCTAAAAAATGAGAGCTCTTTGGGGTTCTTTCCATACCCTCAAGCAAGCCTGATGTGCACCTACCTACTCTGTATGTTCTTGCAGACATTGCATTTCCTACTATTGCCTCCAAAATTCATGTAAGTGGAGAAAGTACTGCCGTGATTTGTATACAATGAAATAATAAAAACCATTAAGGGGTTGGTGTTGTGGCACAGTGAGTTAAGTTGCCATTTGTGACACCAGAATCCCATATGAACTCAGGATTGAGTCCTTGTTGTTTCACGTGTTTTTTTAAAAGGTTTATTTATTTTTATTGCAAAGTCAGAGATATACAGAGAGGAGAAGAGACAGAGAGGAAGATCTTCTGTCCAATGATTCACTCCCCAAGTGAGCGCAATAGCTGATGCTATGCCGATCCGAAGCCAGGATCCAGGAACTTCTTCTGGGTATCCCACACGGGTGCAGGGTCCCAAGGCTTTGGGCTATTCTCAACTGCTTTCCCAGGCCACAAGCAGGGAGCTGGATGGGAAGTGGAGCTGCCGGGATTAGAACCAGGGCCCATATGGGATCCAGGCATGTTCAAGGCAAAGACTTTACCCACTAGGCCATCGTGCCAGGTCCAGCATTTTTTTTTAACATTTATTTATTTTTATTAGAAAGTCAGATATACAGAGAGGAGGAGAGTCAGAGAGGAAGATCTTCTATCCAATAGTTCACTCCCTAAGCAGCCGTAATGGCTGGAGCTGCTCCAATCTGAAGCCAGGTGCCAGGAGCTTCTTCCAGGTCTCCCACATGGGTGCCTTGTCCCAAAGCTTTGGGCTGTCCTCGACTGCTTTCCCAGGCCACAAGCAGGCAGCTGGATGGGAAGCAGGGCAGCCAGGATTGTACCGGCGCCCATATGGGATCTCAGGCTACAGGGAGAGGGCTTTAGCCACTAGGCTATCATGTTGGGCCCTGTACCACTTCTTTTTTTTTTTTAAGACCTACTTATTTACTTTTATTGAAAAGTCAGATTTAAAGAGAAGGAGATACAGAGAGAAACGTCATGTATTTACTGGTCACTCCCCAAGTGGCCACAGTGTCTGGAGCTTAACCAATCCGAAGCCAGGATCCCAGGAGCACCTTCCAGGTCTCTCATGTGGGTGCTTTGGGATTTGGGCCATCCTATACTACTTTCTTTTTTTTTTTTTTTTAAGATTTATTTTATTTTTATTGGAAAGGCAGATATACAGAGAGGAGAGACAGAGAAGAAGATCTTCCCTCCGATGATTCACTCCCCAAGTGAGCACAATGGCCGATGCTATGCCGGTCTGAAGCCAGGAGCCTCTTCCAGGTCTCCCACACGGGTGCAGGGTCCCAAAGCTTTGGGCCGTCCTCGACTGCTTTCCCAGGCCACAGGCAGGGAGCTGGATGGGAAGTGGGGCCACTGGGATTAGAACCGGCACCCATATGGGATCCCGGGCGTACAAGGGGAGAACCTTAACCACTGCGCCACCGTGCCGGACCGACCCATCCTATACTACTTTCTAAGGCAATAAGCAGGGAGCTGAATCAGAAGTGGAGCAGCCAGGATACGAACTGGTGTTTATATGGTATCCCGCTGCTTAGAGGTAGAGGATTATCCAGTTGAGCTATCATTGCAGGCCTCATCATACCACTTCTGATACAGCTTCCTGCTAAAGCACCCGGAAAAGCAGCAGATGGCCTAAGTACTTGGATCCCTTCACCCAAATGAAAGACTCCAGTGGAAGACCCCAATGAAGCTCCAGGTTCTTGGCTTTGGCCATTCCCACTCCAAGCCACTGCAGCTATTTGGGGAGTAAACCAGCAGATGGAAGGTTTCTGTCTATTTCTTTCTCCATTTTTTCCTCTTTCTGTGTCACTCTGCTTTTCAAAAAAACAAATAAATAAATCTTTTTCTTTTTAAATGTTCGGTTGAGTAAAGCTTCTGACTGTACCAAAAATATTTCCTAACTCATAAGCAGCCAGGCTAGGGAAGGCCTGTCTATGCTACCACAAGTTTTCTGACAGCGAACACCTATGAAATGACATTCTGCCAGAGGATAAGCACATTAATTGGGTCAGAAGCATTACAGCCCTTGAGCTGATCCTGCACGTTCAAATCGTGGAGAAAGAGTAGCCCAGAGGGCTGAGGAATGGGAGTCAGGACTGTAACACTGCTCAAGCTGAGCTAGAGAGACAGAGAGTACCTGTTCTGTTCGCTAGTCCTTCGGGTGGAATAACCACAAAATCAGCCTTCTCCGACTGAGTTATAATGGACTCACTCTTGGCACTGTGGATAGGACTGGGTGAAGTCAGGCTGTGATCAAAGAGAAAGGAAGACAAGGGATTATTATGAATTGTTATTTAGAAAACAACTTCCACAACTTATCCCATGTTAATCATCTTACTCCCATCACCTGACACAAGAACATAGCCCATAGTAAGAACAACTATCTCTTTAGGGAAAAAAAAAAAAACTAGCTGTTGAATTATGAACTTGTTGAATGAATAGCTCAGTCCCAGGAATTCTGTTCCACAACAAGGCTGCTTTTATGCCTAATCAATTGAGAAGGGAATCATCAGAAAGATAAGTAGTCCAGCATTTAAAGGTCTGTAAAGTTTGTTTTCATTTACCGCCCACCACTGCCACAAGTGTCATCTTCTGTCCCCTTGTCAGAGTTGGACGACAGTGTTTTAGTAGATTTGGGAACTAAAAGGAAATTCTATTTCCAAAACTTCTCTCATGAAAATGATACCAGCAAGCAATCGCAGCAGGTGAGATCTGAGTTCAGTGCAAAAGAAGACCAGGCTTGTGGGTGGCTTTTGGGAAGTTTAGGGGTAGAAACTTCCAGAGTATATATACTGCCAGACTGTTCACGGGCGCAAGGATATGTCAACAATTCAGCCAGAATACAAAACGAAGAGTAATACATCAAAGGGGGAAATCTGTTGGGGTGTGGTGTTGGTAGAATAATGGTCTACTTGATGTACTCTTTCAAACTGTCATTGGCAACCTCTCAATAATTCTACTACCTTTGGAATTCTAAACCCCTACTTCAGCAAATCCACAAGACAAGAAGGGAATGGGAGGCTGACGCTTCCATCCCATGGGGATAAAGGAGTGGGAGGAACCAATGCTTTCTGAGCTGCACCTTGAGAACATCAGCACTGAAACAATCTCAGGGGCTCCGGGGTCTGCAAGCCCAGCCCCCTCTCAGGAATTCTTTCCAAATCCATCACCCAGACAACAGGGAAAGTGTCTAGGGGTCACTGACCCACATAATGTGCCCCTGAAGTCTCTCAGGCTAATCCTCACAACCATGATCGGGAGTTAACATTGCATCCTCCTGGAAGCCAGCAAAAAACATGTACCCAAAGACAGCAGCCAAAGATTTCTGAAGCTGTGGCGAGCCTAGGGACTAACATCCCAGCCTCCTTGACATTTAGAATCTAAGAGTCTTGGTGGAAAAGACCTCAGTCTCTTTCTGCTTCGGATCACAGAGAATGAGTGCTGTGCGACTTCAAAGAACGCGGTTGAAGCACATCTACAGAACTCTAGCACAAACAGGCGTGAGGTGTGGGGAGTAGCAAGTGGTATTCAGAAATGGTGACAGGGGGCTGGCATTGTGGCTTAGCAAGTTAAGCTTCTACCTATGGTACTGGCATACAGCTCCCTGCTAATGAGCCTGGAAAAGTAGTGGAAGGTGGCCCCAGTTCTTGGTCCCCTGTATCCAAGTGAGACACATGGATGACACCCCAGCCACTGTGGCCATCTGGGAAGTGAACCAGCAGATGGAATATCAGGTTCTCTTTCTCTAACTGTGCCTTTCAAATCAATACAAAATTTTTTAAGTGATGTCTGCTTTCTAGAACTCTCAGTACTTTATAGACCTATCTCTACTATCTTTCACCACTTAAGCAATCTGACATTCAAGCCAACACCAATTAGCTGTTAGAAAAGCTCTCATCTAAGGGCTTTTATAAGGAGAGTAGATTTACGACTGCGTAAACCTCAGCATTTACCTTCTGGGTAATCCAAGACTAGAAAGAAGCCTGCAACAGCTGCTCCTCTTTGAGAAAAAATAAAACAACACTTTCTCAGCTGACAAGGTGCCATGGCTGACATGTTCCACTGCCTGCATTTGGCTGGACCACAGTGGGTAAGTGTGAGACAAAGGGGGGTGGAGAGCCCACAGTGTGAACCTAGGATGCTGGAAAACTGCTTTCCTAAAAGCCAGACGCATGCTCAGTTCCACCTTCTCCCTTCTAAGGGTGTCTCCCATATAAGGGCAAAAGGAGGCGGATGTCTGGCTATCCAACCCCGTTGGGGGAGTGGCAGAGCAGCCCCAGGAAAACAACACTTCTCTTTCTTGAATTGAGCTGCCAGGGTGAGACCACAGAGAGGTAAGACCTGGAAACTAGGTGGCCAAGTGGGAAGACTGAGGACCTGAAGGAGGAAAGGGTTGGGGCAGGCATCCTGCTGTTTTCCTAAGCACTTTACCGATGAGAAAGCCACATTCAATCCTTCACCTGGGGTCACAGCAAAGTATTTAAGCCCTAATTAATTAAATGGCTTAAACTCCTCTCCGATTAGCTGAAATAAAAAGTCCTAGTTTAAAAACAAGTATTTTCCTCCTTGCCATCATTATCCTGAGGTCAGAGTACAACTGATACCCGCCTTAATTCAGACATCTATCAGTCTCCAGTCTTCACTTAGGAGACAAGTAATTCACAGCAAAAACACTTGCAAATTGGATCCTGATGAGGCTTTTAGGTTGGTGATGGGCAGTAAGAGCACTGTGTATTCCTAAATGGTCCCGCCCTGACCAGAGACACCAACAGGGTAAAGCGCCACTCCTTCCCTCCTAAACCCACCGTCTTTTACAGGGAAAATCCCAGGCCAGCAGCCTGTCCTACCCCAAGAAAGCGCCCCACCCATCACCGTCTGACTGGCCAACAGCATCCTCCAGTCCTGGCCCCGCTCCCACCCATGCCCCCACCTCGAAAGCCAAAGTGGCTTCAGCTCACCATTTGACTTGTGTCCCTCCCATGGTCCCCCTCCGGGCTCCGGCTTCAGCAAGCCTGCTTCCGTGGGTGAATCGGGAGGCGGGGAGCCACAGCGCTCCCCAATTCGGACATGTCTCCCCGCGGTGGGGACGGAAGAAGGACTCCACTAGCAGACCAACTAGCAGGGCTGCTCGCCCCGATGGCCGTGGAAAGTAGGGAGGGCAGTGGCAGGCGTCTCGCTCCTGAGACTAGGATGCTCCCGTGTGAGAGGCGCGGTGTCCCGGCGGCTCAGACTCTGCGGCAGCCTGGCCTCGGCGGAAGCCGCCTCCTCTCGCAGGCGGCCGGTCCCTGGTAGCCGCATCTCGGTCTCCTCGGCCGCACCGCTCCGAGCATGCCCCCAGACGCTGGCATGTCAACCCATCTCCCACTGGGAGAGAGGCTCCCGGAGGCTCGGGCTGCGCGTCGGGTCCCCGGCGGCGAGCGTGCGGGCGATCCCGCTCCGCAGCGCCTCCCTGGTCCCTCCCTTCTCCCCTCCCTTCCCCACCCTCCCAGGCTGTCACACGCGGCGAAGCAGCCCTGGGCTCAGACCCAAGTCCTAGCTCGGCGGCCGACGGCCCTGGGTAAAGGTAGGGGCGCGGGCCAGCAACGGGGCCGGCTCAGTGGAGGCCGAAGATCACACGGCCCAGGACAGGCAAGTGGGGTGGGGGGCGGCCGACGGGCTTTGTGGGTACCGGGGCAGATCAGCACGCGTGGAAACGCTGCTTTTTAATACCGCCCCTCCCTGATGGCCGCGGGGTCCCGGCAGGTCTGGTCCTAATGGAGCCCTCCCGGCTCCCTGCGAGAAGGCAGGCCGGTAGGGTGGAGAGCCGCTGAGCACCCCTCTCCTCCCACCTTCCCCTCCGGCGTACGTTTTTCCTCTGCTGTTTTTTTCCCCCCAAATACAGATAATTTCGCCTGGATGCAGTGAGAGGCTGGCCCGAGGTCTAGAGAGCAACAGGCGCACAGGGCTTCGCCGGTCTCCGAGCCCCAGGGAGAGGGGATGACGCGCCAGGGACTGTCTTTCCATCGCCCTCCATCCCCCAAGCAAACCACTTCCTGGGTCTCCCAGCTCCTTCAAAGGTCACAGAGCGCGTTAAGTGGGCTGGGGCGGGGGGGGGGGGGGGGGAACGGTACAAGAAGTACCTGAACCCGAGCTTTCACAGGTAACCATGAGAAACTCTCTTCTTTTGAGGGTTCCTTGAGAGAAACAGAATGGGGATAGGGCATCTGCAAGAGCTGAGCTAGCGGTCAGCATGACAAGAAAACAGCAAAATGAAGGAGTGAAAAACAGGAAGGGGATTACTAACTATTCTCTTTTGAACCTTCCTGGCTTAGACAACTCTCACGTTTAGCCCACTACAGCCTGCTTCCAGTGGACCCCTCACTGGCACAGTCAGACAGTACCCCTGCCCCTGCCTGAGCCCACAATGCCTGGGAGGAACGGACAGGTGCTCTCAGAGGGAAAGCCAGACTGTCACCAGGCACTATCAGGTTTGGAAAGAAAGGCCTGTAGATACACAGGAAGCAAATCTCACTGCAAAATAAGCCCCTCTGATTCTGTACCAAGTGACAGCCTAAGTCACACACAAGGAAACAATGGTTCAGATTCTCATTAAAGCAACACCTATTGTGTAATAGATACAGGTTTCCTTTTGGAGTGATGCAGGTATCTCCCAAATGGATACAGGTGATGGTTGAACAAATTACAAAGGCACTAAATGCCATGGAATTGGCTACCTAGCATTGAGACATAACAAGTAAGACTGCCCGAGATGCAGCCATCCCATAAGGGTGTCAATTAGAGTCCCTGCTGCTCCACTTACAAGCCGACGTCCTGCTAATGTAACTGGGAAAACAGAGGAAGGTGGGTCAAGTACTTGAGCCCCTGTACCCACATGAGAGACCCAGATGAAACACCTGGTTTAAGCCTGGCCTATCTCTAGCTATTGCAGTCGGAAATGAACTATCGGATGAAGAACCTCTTCCTATCTCTCCTTCCTGCTCTGTAATTCTTTCAAGCAAATCCTTTTTTTGTTCTTTGTTGGAACAAGTTTAATGGTTAATTTTTATGTTAATTTTTAAAATAAAAAAGCACACTGATTAAACAGAAAAATTTTAAAGTTGAACTAGGGTAGCAGAAATATTAAAATACTGGAAAGTGTTCCATCCATATGACCTCAATACATTAGGAAGTGTTCCATCAAAATGGGATGGAATTTTATGCAGAAAACATACAGGAGGAAGAAAACAAACACAAATTATGCAAAGAACAATTAGACTTAAATAGAACAAACCACTCTGTGTTGAGGTAGAAGAGGAAGGGTAACTAGAGCATAAGTTAAATATGATGCAGCAACGGAACTTAGTAAGCTAATATGATCTGGGGATGTGTTTACAGGAACATGATTTACATAAGCCAGAAAAATCATCTTTTTCTGCCTCTGTGCTTGGCATCAATCTTTTCCTGCTTCTGTGCTTGGCACCAGTCAGATTTGTATTAAAGCACTGTGTCCTGCTTTGGTTTCTGTACTTAGCTCCAAGGGATCTAGACAGCCTTTCAGCTAGAGTCACAAACAACATTAACCCACTCACATGCCTAATCTACCACAATTCCCAGCCCTGTACGTCAAGGTTGAAAATACTCTAATGTTGCCAGACAACTCTGCCCGGTTTCCTTTCTTACTATGAGCTTTACTCAGCCTTCTGAAGATAAAACTTAGAGGGCACTAAAACATGCAAATATTACGACCACTGAGCTGGCCCAGACACACCCCAGAGTGGCCAGTGCTAAGCACAAGTCCTGGCGCTAGGACTCTGCACTGAGTTTATCTTTGGGAACAGCACCACCGGCTCACCCTACATTCTTGCCTACATGCAAGCATAAGGCAAACCTGAGGGATCACTCTAAAACCAAACCAACAAAGGAAAGAGAGAGGGACTCCAGTGCTTGACTGCTTGCTGTATTGCTGCTTGAAGCCAAGAACCCTGAGAATGTCCAGCAATTAGCTTTCTGGCCAGAACTGCAGAGGGTAAAGGATATGAGGCCATCATACCTGGAGCAGCTCGACTCAGACGGAGACCTCTGCTGCCCTTCATACTGCTGAACCAGTGCCCGCACGCTCCAGTATGGGTTCTCAATCTCCTCATCCATGCTGCTGTTCCTAAGGTCAGAGGGCATGGGCACAGGACAGGGGTCAGTACCTCATTGCAGCTCACTTCAGCCAACACTGGCACACTGCCATGCTGCCCACTCAGGGAAGAATGTGAGTAAACCAAACCTCTGCATTGAAAACACTTGGAATGCAATAGGGAGGGTAGACGCAACACAAGGAATTCCACCAATGTGTACAACACCTAGAGGTCATGCTCTTCCTCAGCATATACACAATCCCCAAATCATTTCCTGCCAGGCTCCCTAGGGCGGTTTGGCCCTTTGGATACCCTCCAGGGTAGAGCCTCCCCCAGACAAACCGGAACATTGCTCTTCCACAGCTCCCAGGGAAAAAAGCACACTGTAGCAAAGGCTGCTGTTTAAAGTGAGGCACCAGAAAAAGCACATATACATGTTTTCTTTATTTTCTGCTAACTGTATAATAAACATCTCCAAAGAAACTGCCCTCTTTTGGAGTGTCTGCAGTCTGAGTGAAATTTTCCTAGGCTGCATCGTATCATATAAGAGAAGCAATGGGGTGGGGTGGGGGCGGGGAGGAGCAGGCAGGAGGGGCAGGGATCAGTTCCCATCCCTTACCTCTGCCGGTAGCGAAAGACATCCCTTCCCGACCGGGACACGTCGTGACACACGTCGGCCAGAGCAGCAGCTGCTCCCTGGGCCACAGCAGCAGCGCAGTGTGGCTGGTGACTCTGCACAGGAGCTCTGGAATCCCGTCCTTGGCTCACCGTCCTGCTACAGCCAGGTTTGAAATGAGCTGCCAGAGCAAGGACCAGCCTCATGATGGACTTCAGGTTTCCTTCCACAATATCTAAAGGGTGGGCAAAAGAGACCAGGAGGACCTGAACAGGAGGCAGAGACAGAATTCTTCTGCCTCTAATACACAGACAGGGCTAGTGCTAGGGATCAGCACTGTGGGCTAGGTCTCTGCCCTTACAAACCTGTGTTCAGCAAGGAAGGCAGAAGACTTATAACAGTTACTATGAAGCACGATGACATACTGTGATACAAGGTACAGAATTCTTTGGGAGTTTGGGGTGGAGGCATCTTATGAAGGAAAGGGCCTTTATCAGGTAAGGAAAAATATTTCAGGAAGAGGAAGCCGCAGGTGCAAAGGTCTAGAGAAAGCAGGATTCAAAAAGCTCGTGGAGGTAGGGCATTTGGCATAGCAGTTAAGTCACCACTTAGGACACACTCATCCCTATCAGAGTGCCTGATTTCAATCCTGGCTCTTCTATTTTCAATCCAGTTTCCTGCTAATGTGCACCCTGCAATGCAGCAGCAGCTGATGACTGAAATATTTCAGAATGCTGCCATCCCCACGGGAGACCTGGGTAAGTTCCAGGTTCTTACCTGCAGCCTGGTCTAACCCTGGATGTGGGCATTTGGAGAGTGAACCAAATGATGGAAATGTCTTCTCTATATGTCTCTCTTTCTGCTTTTCAAATAAAAAAAGGAAATTAAATATATTCTTAAATTTATTCTTAAATATAAATATATTCTTAAATATATTCTTAAATATATCTATTTACTTATTTGAAAGGCATAATAATAAAGAGAAGGGACAGACAGAAATCTTTCACTCTCTGGCTCACTCCCAAGTGGCCATAACAGCCAGAGCTGGGCCAGGCTGAAGCCAGGAGCCAGCATCTCCATTTGGGTCTCTGCGATGAGTGGCAGGGACTCAAGTAATTGAGCCACCATCTCCTGCTTCCCAGGCACATTAGCAGGCAGTAGGAGGCGAAGCAGGGTAGCTTATGCTTGAAATGGCTCTCGGATATAAGATGCAGGCTTCTCAATGGCATAACCCTCTGTTCCATAACACCCACACTCCAAAAAAATATATTTTAAAAAATGTTAATGAGCATGAGTGTTTGGCATTGCAGTTAAGCTGCTGGTTATACGATGCCTGCATCTCTCATTGCGTGTTTGGGTTTGATATACAGCTCCTGCTCTCTGTTAATGTGTACCTTGTACCCTGGGGGACAGCGGTGACAACTTAAGTAGCTGGGTTCCTACAATTCACATGGAAGGCTTAGGCTGAGTTCTGTTCTCCCATACTTGGCCCAGCCCCAGACCTAAAGATGTCTAGGCATCTTTAGGAAAAAACAGTGGCTGGGGTGGGAGGTGGGTTCTCTTCTTTTTCTGACTCTCTATATCTCCCACATAAATATTTTTAAAAGTGCATGTAATTGCATATTATAAAAATGCAAGCATTTCAAATGTTTTGTACTCCCCAAAAGCCTCTTATCTTTTAATTCCATTCTTCAATAAACTTATCCCAAGTGTCTGTATATGACAGCTGCACTGTCCCATATGGAAGTTACTGGTCACATGTTGCTATTGAGAACTTATGATGTCACCAGTCTGAATGGAAATGTGCATTAATTACTCTGCATACACACACATAAATGCAAATTATTTCATTCACTTTTAATATTGATTTTATGGTGAAATAATGTGATTTTGGTTGTACTAGACTAAATTATTAATAATAATTAAAATTAATTTAAAAATTAAGCTTATCTTTTAAAAAATATTTTTGCTTGAAAGATAGAGAAACAGAGAGCTCCCATGGCTAGTTCACTCCTTCACCAGATCTCTACAACGACTGAAGCTGATGCAGGTTGGAATTAGGAACCAGGAATTCAATACAGGGCTCCCACGTGGGTGGCAAAGATTCATCTTGGATATCACCCACTGCTTCCCAGGATTCTCAGAAATCCTACAATTTGGAGTAGGGCCAGGATCTGAAAACTGGCACTATGGGCATCTTAACCACTAGGCCAAGTGCTCAGTCCTATTTTAATTTTTTAACATTTTTAAAAGATTATTTAAGATTTATTTTAATTTTTATTGCAAAGACAGATATACAGAGAGGAGGAGAGACAGAGAGGAAGAGCTTCTGTCCAATCACTCACTCCCCAAGCGGTCGCAATGGTGGGAGCTGAACCAATCCAAATCCAGGAGCCTAGAGCCTCTTCCGGGTCTCCCATGCAGGTGCAGGGTCCCAAGGCTTTGAGCCGTCCATGACTGCTTTCCCAAGCCACAAGCAAGGAGCTGGATGGGAAGCGGGGCCGCTGGGATTAGAACTGGCACCCATACGGAATCCCAGCACATTCAAGGTGAGGACCTTTGCCACTAGGCTACCGTGACGGGTCCTATTTTTATTTTTTTAATTATTTGGAGAGTAAAAGTTTTTAAATGATCAAAAAATAAAGATAAAAATGGAACTTTTAAGCTACTTATGGGACATACACTATATGTGTTTCTATGACACAGTGCAGTGGTGGGGAACTGAACATTCAGCATAGGAAGAGCACAGAGTGTGGGGGGTTAAGAGGTGGGGAACGATGAATCAGAGGGCAGGTCATCTGTGACTTGGTATGTCACAGGAAAGGCTTTGGATATCTACCCTCAGAGCCCCCAACACAGAGGGAGTGCCACAGGCACATACACTCTCACAAAGAAAGACATCTGAGCTACAGAATGGAAAGCAGAAGGGAGAAGGGCAAAACTCGGTGCAGCAGGAATTAATTAGGAAACTGTTGCATCTGGGTAAAAGACAACACTGCCCTGAATGGCAGTGTTCCCTCAAAATAGACCACGTTAATGGGCCAGATCCCCAAGCCTACTCCATGTGGGGATCAGATCACAGATGCAGCACTCTCAATTCTGTCCTACAAAAAAAGTGTGGGTGTGTGTGTGCGTGTGCGTGTGTATGTGTGTGTAAAATGCAGGCAAAAACAAATGTGACAGGTCTGGTGAAAGTTCATGTAAGGAGATAGGTAAAATTCTATCTTTCTAAGCTTCCTAGCCTTTCAATGACTCAAGGCTTAGAAAAGGATTATCTTATACATCCTATCAGATGCTCTCCGTAGGGTCAATGTCTGCTCTACCTGAATGTACTTTCACAGATTATCACCGACCTGACATGAAAGGAGGGTCTCTTTTTGCCCCCATTTTCATCAGGCTCAGAAACCAAGGCTCCATCAGAACCCTAGAGCTAGGCTGTCCTGGAGAAACAGTGAGAGGACTAGACAGCCCGTGCTTTCCAAGGAAACCTCATCTATTCCTGCCTCAGAGCCTGGGCTCAAAGTAGACTGGCAGCCCCGGGGCCATGCTGCTCTAAAAGAGGACAGATGCAGGGATCACAGAGCCCCTTTCATCCTGCCCGGAAGGTTCTGATGTCCAAAAAATGCTATAGAACATTTTCCTCTAGAAAACTGCATTGGTAAAACGTAGGATGAAATAATTTGAAATAATACTTGGTTATGAGACCCTAGGATCTTGAAACATGCAATCTACCTTCATTTTTTATCATTTAAATGGGACATTCTAAAATTAATATCCCAGTTGTCTAATTTCTTTTCTAACCATTCATTTTCGTATATGCTCAGGCAAACCTGTATTCAATTAAAATGAATGTTGAACATCTTTCTCCAGCTAGGTTTCCATAACACTTGGATTTGATTATCACTGTACCTCAAGAAAACAGCTCTCTTTATGGAAAATGACAAGAGACCATGAGTCTGACTCTGCTCCACGCCACCCAGAACTCTTGGCTATGCAAGCAAGAGTTCTTTCAAGAACAGCAAGAGTTGATCATGCACAGTGTACACATTCAGAGACATGATGAGTCACCGACCTTTAGCCGAAGTCTGGTGCATACGAATCTTTTTGGAGGCCACAAACTGTAGCACTTTCTCCACATTACTCTTCATCTCTTGTTGGTTACTGGGACTCAATTGTACACCACTCAGCTTTTCTCCTGCTGTTAGGAGAAAGAAAATATATGACATCAAAGGAAGGAATGCTATCAACGTTTCATAGCAACCAGAAGGAATATTTGATGCAACCACTGAATTATACATAAATAAGTTAAATAAGTTAGTTAAGTCCTGGTGTGCAATTTGAATGGGGAAAAGAAAATGAGAGCCTACTGGGGATATTACTATTTGCAAGTCCATTCCCAGGAGTCTGTGAAATTACTATGTGTACCTTTATCATTCAACAGATGTTCATTAAGGGGCAGGCAGTGGGCCTGGTGGTTAGACAGACAGCATTTGAAACACCCCGTATTCCATAACAGAGCATCTAGGTTCAAGTTTTAGATATGCTCCTGATCCCAGCTTCCTGCCAACACAAACCCAGGTGAAGATTCAAAAAGCTGGGTTGTTACCACTGACATACAAGATGAGAATGAGTTCTTGGCTGCTGGCTTCAGCCTGGCCTAGCGACAGCTGTTGTGGGCATTTGGTAAGTGAACCAGTAAAATGAGAGATCTTGCTCTCTCTCTCACTCTCTTCAAACTAATTAAATAAAAGAGGGGAAAATCCAAGTATCAATTAAGTATCCACTGTGTATCAAGCATTGTTTTGGCCATAACAGAAAGTAATAAATAAGAAAGACAAAGTCAGGACTGGTAGTGTTCCCATACGGGTGCCAATTCAAATCCCAGTTGCTCTGCTTCCAAACCCAACTCTCTCTGGGAAGGTAGTGGCAGCCATTCATGTGGGACACCAGATGGAGTTTCAGGCTCCCGCTTTGGAATGGGCCAGAGCTAGCCAGTGAAGTGTACCAGTGATAGGATATTCTCTCTCTCTTCGTATCAAATATATAAAATCAATCTTTGAAGACAAAGTCTCTTTGCTTACCGAGTTTCTATCTGTAAGGATGATGAATAACAACTCAACAACTCAGTTAACAAATGTTTACATAACCAGGTAATATGCCCTATGAAAACCATGAACGCTCTGATAATATATTTGGGCAGAGGCTTGACTATATAGTAAGATGCTAAAGTTTGAGGAGGAAGCACTCCAGAAATGAGGAACCATGGGTATAAAACTCCAGCTGGAAAAGACTTCAGGTTATCTGTGGAAGAGTAACAAGACCAGAGATGTGGGATGATGTGGCAGAGGGGTGAAGCTTCCACTTGTGACACCAGTATCCTACACTGCAATGCTGGTTTGAGTCCCAAGTGCTCTGCTTCCAATCTAGTTCCCTGCTAAAGTACCTGGGGAAAAGATAGCAAAAGATAGCTCAAGTATCCAGGTCCCTGCCACCCAGGGGGAGACTAGGATGGAATTCCCAGTTCCTGGCTTTGGCATGCCCTGGACCTGGCTGTTGTGGCCATTTGGAGAATGATCTAATAGATGGACAATCTCTCTCTTGCTATTCTCCTTCTGTGGCTCCGTCTTTCAAATAAATAAATAACTGAATCTTAAAGACAAACCTACAGAAAACTAAGTAAGGCTAGGTCATGTAGGGCTCTGTGGATCAGAGTAAAACACTTGAATTTTGGACCCAGTGTTGTGGTATAGTAGGTTAAGCCTTTGCCTACAGTGCTTGCATCTCCTATAGAGGCTGATTTGTGTCCCAGCTGTTCCTCTTGCAATTCGGCTCCCTGCTAATGTGCCTAGGAAGGCAGCAGAAGATGGCTAAAGTCCCTGAGACGCTGCACCCACATGGGAGACCAGAAGGAAGTTTCAGCCTCCCAGTTTTGGACTGGTTCAGCCCTGGCAGCTGGGGGCATGGGGTATGAACCAGTGGATCAAAGATTTCTCTCTCTGTCTCTCTCTCTTTCAATCTGCCTTTAAGATAAAAATAAATAGATGTTTAAAAGTGAAGAGCTTGGATTTTACTCTGAGAATGATGGGCAGGCAAAGGAGACCTTGAGATAGGGGAGAGAAATGACTTGATTTAGGCTTTTCAAAGTTGACTCTGTGTGGACACAGACTGTGAAAACAGGAAACTGGGAGATCATTCAAAAGAATAATGTAACAGCCAAGGCAAAAGATAGTGGTGGTTTTGGTTGGGCTAAAAGTATCAGAGGCTGACTGATAAGAAGTCAGATACTGAGAATATCTTGACATAAGGGAGACAGTGCACAAAAAGGATTGAATATGTTATTTGAGGGAAAGAGAATAATTTAAGACAACTTCTAAGTGTTTTAGTTAGCAAATGTGTCCCTTAGATGAAGAAATCTGGGGTGTGGCATTTGGTGTAGCAGTCAGATGTGCTGGGTGAAGTCCTGGCTCTGCTCTCCAGTCCAGCTTCCCACTCAAGGTGCACTCTGGCAGGCAGCAGCTCACAGCTCAAGCACTTGGGTCCCCACTGCCATGGAGGAAACCTGGGCTGAACTCCAGGCTCCTACAGACTCGCCCAGCTCTGGCTGCTGTGAGCATTTGGGGAGTAAGCCAGCATACAAGAAATCTCTGCCTGTCTCTCCCTCTCTGGTTCCCTACCTTTGCAATAAAACAAACATCCAAGGAGGGGTGGGATAGGGAGTGGGATAGGGCAGGAAACCCAAAGTTTTGACCTGGATTTGTGAGGTTCGAGCTGCACACTGAACAAACAAGCATAGAAGTACAGGTCCTTACCAGGAAGTTATACAGTCAAGTCTAGAAGTCAGAAAAAAGTTCAGGACTGATTAGGCAAACTTGAGAAAACATTATCAAGGGGTAGAGAATATATGAAGGACGGAACCTGGATCCCTCCAACTCTTAAGAGGTCAGGAAGAGAAACAGCAAAGCAAGCGAAGAGAGAAGCAGGGAGGAGGGAGGAAATCCAGAGATCTAGAGGATCCTTGAAGCCAAGCAGTCTTTGAAGGAGGTGTGATCTACACTATCAGGCATGGCTAAGTCAAGTAAAACCAGGACTAAGGGCCAGCTGCTGGATTTGACAAGGTGAAAGCTAAGACCCTGAGCAAAGCAGTCCCAGTGCAGTTGTAGGATCAAAAGCATAACGAGGTGCAAAACACAAGTTAAATAGATATATAAAGAAACATATATATATACTTATATATATAGATGAACTGTATAACAGAGATTAGCATCAGGAAGTGAAAATATTAGCAGTATGCATTTCTACTCCTGAATAAAGCAGGACGCCCCCCCAAAATGATTAAATATATTGTGTCAAAATGATGCTAGATTTACTACCATTGTCTACACCTATAATGTCACAATACACGTAAGATAGCAGAATGTTGGACTTGGGACTGTTGTTGAAGGACTATACTATTGTAATAACGTGGGGGAAAACAGTGGGGAGAGGAATGGAGGAATGGTGCAAGGTGAAACTCCTGAGGCCTTGAACCATGTCATTAAAAAAAAAAAGCCTAGGGAGGAGTGTTAAAGAATGAATATAACATAAGGAAATACATTTCAGGAGTACAGACAAACTCTTAGGAGGCTCAGGGTAACATCACAATGCAAACCAGTGCTTAAGAACCTGGGTTTTGGGAAAATAATATTACACATTCATAATGCCTCTGTATGCATTGATCATCTCTGGAAAGAACTGCAATAAGCTGCTAACACTGGCTGCCTCCAAAAAGAACAGGTAGTCGGTAGAGGGATACAGGTGGAAAAGGCTTTTGATTTTTAGTTTACTTCCTTTTTCAGATTTATTCATTTTTAATTACAGAGAGCAGGAAACACAGAGAGAAAGACAGAGTGAGAGAGACTTTTCATCCACTGGTTCACTCCCCAAATAGCAGTAACAGCCAGAGCTGAGCCAATCCAAGGCCAGGAGCCAGGAGCTTCTTCTGGGTCTCCCACAAGAGTAAGGGGTCCCAAGAACTTGAGCCATCCCCTGCTGCTTTCCCTGGCCATAAGCAGGGAGCTGGATCAGAAGTGGAGCATCCAGGACTCAAACCAGTGTCCATACGGGATGCCAATGCTGCAGGAGGAAAATCAACCAGTTGAGCCACTGCACAGCCTCCCCCACCCCCATATTCTTCTGTACCATCTAAATTCCTATTAATTCATGTCTCACCTATTCAAATAAATGAAAACCTAAGCTTTAAACTGGGCTTTGGAATTAAAGCAACTCTACTTTTACTGAGGTACTTATAGTTAGGCAACTTTATAAAAGTGTTTCGCCTCTCTTAACTTAATAAAATGAGCAAAAGGGTGGTACTATAGGCTACTCATCCCTAATCTGAAAATCAAAAATCTGAAACATTTCAAAATCTTAAAAGTTTTAAGCACCAACATGATGCTCAAAATAATTCAGATTTGGAGCATTTCAAATTTAGACTATGCAAATATTCTAAAATCCACCCCCAAAAAAGTCCAAAATCTGTTAACACTTCTGGACCCAAGCATTTTAGAAGGGATTCTCAACCTGTACTCGCATTCATGTCATAAATAATTCAAAGTAGCATGCTTAGCTACTTGGCTTGACACATTCCAAGTACTCTATGAATTTATTTATTTTTGTAAATCTTGTCTTGTAAGCTTGCTTCCTGAAAGGAGGAATAATATTACTACTTCCCAAAGGGGATGGTGATTGGATGAGATGAAATCAAACAACATAAAATGTCCATTTGGGCAGCTGCTGTGACTATTAGCACCATTATTATCACTACAAATGAATCCTCCGATGAGTTCTTGGGCTATCCCAGGGAAGTGTTCATGGATAGGCTGCCTGCTACAAGCAGGCTTCTTCCACACTTCTTGCAAGTCCCATGTCTCTCAGGGACTTTAAGCAAGGTGAGCTGCTTGACATAACAATGAAAGTTTGAGAATCAATTATTTGCACCTGCTCAGTCTAAAGAGCCCACAAATAATGTAGCAGCCATCACACCAGCACCTAGCAAGCATCACTGGCAAAGAGGGAAGCCCTTTTTTGCAGCTAATGACAGTGACTCTCTCAGAGGGGTCCTTTTGCTAGAACATACCCTCCTTGTGTTTGGCTACTGCTTCCTTCCTTGGCCTGGGTTCAGATATCAGCTCTTAAAGACAGGCCTCAGTTTGAACATCAATTCTTCGGGTAAGTTATTTCTGTGCCCTGAGGGCTGGCCTAGTATCCCTTCTGTGTGTTTCCCTCTGTGCTTGCTCCACCAAGTTTCTAAGTACATGCATGGAACTGACTTAACTAAATTAGGAGACTCTTGAGAATACACACTGCTCATCATCACACTCCCAACACATAACACAGTGCCTGTCACACAGCATCTGCCTGAGAATTTTAAATTTGCTCTCTGCCCCTTACCAAACATTCTAAAAAAGAGACAACCTGCCGTGAATGGCACACGAAGGATAAAGAAGGCCACACTCTAACTTCAGCGTCCAGAATCAACTCACCAACAATCTCGATGAGGTACGCCAGGATCACGCCATCCCGCAGATCTTGCCGCAGATCCTGCACTGGCTTCACTGCCGGCCTCTTCTTTAGCTGCGCATTCACCCAGGCCACGTAGGCCTGCAGCTGTTGCTGGAAAATGAAATGGTGGCATTGTATGTTAATTTTATCCCCTCCCCTGCACTCCGCAAAGCAGTATTTGAGAGTGAACTATAGTGGGCAGTTTGCATGCAAAGGAAAAAGACAGTATCACGGTCAGATACACAGTGAGTTCTAAAATTATCTGGTTTGATGACAATCTCCAGAGATAAGCTAACCTCTGGCCTGGGTGGCACTGTAGACTCAGATAAGTTCATGAGTGCTTCAGCGAGCTTGATTCTTGTTTTCCTTAAATTTTGCTGTTGACCAGGGATGAGGGCGGGACTAAAATTTATGGCTCATTTTAACGACTGCTGCCAGGACCCACCGTAATTCTCAGGAACCACCACACAGGTATCTCATACACACAGAACTGTGATCTTAGGAAACCAGGAATAAAAAGTCAGCCAAGCTCAGATGCCTCCTCCATAGCGAACTCACCTTACAGTCAATTTAAGATTTATTCTCCTCAGCCCTTAATCCTGGAATTACTACAGAGTTCATTTTAACCCACACTTGATATTGTTAGAGAGGACCTGATTAGTTAAAACCTACACAAAGAAGGGGGTAAAAAAAGGATTCTGCTGAGCAGTGTTATTAACGACTAGAAGGCCCTTTAATTTACTTTTAAAGTTAGGGCTTCATATTATCAGGAACCTGTCAGGCATCTGGAGAGGGGCATGTAATTCCTCCCAAGCTTCAGGCAGCTTTACACATTCCATTTTCGTGCATTAAACAGAACGTGCACTCGAAGTATTTGGCCAACAGATGGACGCTAATATCAAAATAGCACAGGAGCAATATCACAATCCAGGCAACAGCCCTGTTTGGTTTCTGTAGTTGCTCAAGATTCTAAACAGAAAAACCAAGTTCAAGGGCTAATCATATTAAGTTATAATTTAGTTATCGTAGCTTTCTAAGTCCTAAGTACTTCCTTAATGAAAGGACAGATGAAATTACTCATTAACTGCTTCCTTAACTTAAATGAAATCTTCAATAATGAATAATTCATCTCTGTTAATTTGTGGGAATAAAAATTAACAGTCATTATTATGACTAAACAGTCATTATTATTTTCATCAACATCATGATCTAATTCAATTCTTCAGAACGCTCATTTTATGGATGGAGTTCACTGAGGTTATATAACTTCTCCCAATGTCTCCAATGCTGGAACATAGCTATCCTGTATTAAAACCCAGTAAAGGGAGGATCTATGAAGGGATCTTGCTACTCACCAAGGAGGATATATCTTCTTCCTGATGTGGGCAGCTAAGAAAGATAATACTCCCAAAGCCACTCCCATTGCAAGCCACAGCCCTGCCTGGGGCAGAGCAGGCAACAGACACCAGTGGAGTGAACCACTCTGTCTGCAGACAAGCAGTTAAGAGCAGAAAAAGCAGTAAGTGTAACAGCCAGGCTGTGATTACATGACGTAAGTATAAAACTCCTAAGCAAATTTCCTGTATCTAATATGATACTCGAACCACTCCCAACACACTCCTGCTTCAAATCCACACTGGCCTCCTGTTATCCTCAAGATAAGATCCAATCCCCCAAGCTGGCATTTAAGTCTCTCATGCTAGCCCTTGCCTGTCCTCTAGCTTCAACCACTTTTCCCACACGGGTATGCCCATGTTCTGTCCCATCCAAGCCATGGGGGGTACTCGGAATGTTCATGGCTCTCCTGCCACTCTGCCTCCCCCACCTGCTCACTTTCCTTAAGTACTCAACTCAACCATTACCTTTTTCAGGAAGCTTTTCCTGTACTCTTCCACATCTCAGATTCTGAGCTGGGCTTTAAACAATTTCACATTTTTCCATTTCCTCACTCCTACAAACTATAATTCTACTTTGTCTTTATAATTTCTAACTACTTGGATTTATCATGAAGGTAGAATTAGCCAGGGCCTGTCTTTTGAAGGCTGGTTCATTTAGTACATTTTTTAAATTTAACTATTTGTTAAATTTTAGATCTCGTATCCAAGCCTGGAACTCAATTCCAATCTTCTATATAAATGACAGGAGTTCAATTACTTGAGCTTTCACCTGCTGCCTCCTAGGATGCAAATTAATATGAAGCTAAAATTTAGAAAAATACTAGAACTCAAACCTAGGGACCGGCGGCATGGTCTAGTGGCTAAAGTTCTCGCTTAGAAAGTGCCGGGATTCCATATGGGTGCCAGTGCTAATCCTAGCAGCCCCGCTTCCCATCCAGCTCCCTGCTTGTGACCTGGGAAAGCAGTCAAGGACAGCCCAAAACCTTGGGACCCTGCACCACGTGTAGGAGACCGGGAAGAAGCTCCTGGCTCCTGGCTTCAGATCGGCACAGCTCCAGCCATTGCAGCTACTTGGGGAGTGAATCAACAGATGGAAGATCTTCCTCTTTATCTCTCCTCCTCTCTGTATATCTGACTTTCCAATAAAAATAAATTAATTAAAAAAAAATAGAACTCAAACCCAGGTATGCTGATATGGGATGGAGGCCACGCTGAGGGGTATTTTAATTTCTATACCAAATGCCTGTGCTTTAATTTCTTTTTTTTTTAAAGATTTATTTTATTTTTATTGGGAAGGCGGATATACAGAGAGACTGAGAGGAAGATCTTCCGTCCCATGATTCACTTCCCAGGCGGCCCCAACAGCTGGAGCTGAGCCAATCCAAAGCCAGGAGCCTCTTCCGGGTCTCCCACGCGGGTGCAGGGTCCCAAAGCTCTCCTTGTCTGCTTTCCCGGGCCACAGGCAGGGAGCTGGATGGGAAGCGGGGCTGCCGGGATTAGAACCGGTGCCCGTATGTGATCCCGGGTGTGCAAGGTAAGGACCTTAACCACTGTGCCATCATGCCGGGCCCTGTGCTTTAATTTCTTAAAATTCTATTTATTGTTGTATTTATTTGAAGGGCACAGAGACAGGAAAAGAGGGTCTTTACCAACTGGGTCACTCCCCAAATGCCAACAACAGTCAGGGCCACACCTGCGTAAAACTGGAAGCCAGAAACTCAAACCAGGTCTCCCACACACGAGTAGGAAAAACTTAATTTCTTGTGTCATCATTGCTGCTCCTTGCTGGAAATCAGGAGCCAAATCCAGGAACCAGACATGGGTGCTCTAATGTACGGAATGAGAGTACACCAGTGAACATCTTGACCATGAGGTCAAACATCTATTTAAAGAAATGAATGCTTATTTCATTTTATTTGAAAGGCAAAGCAACCAAGAGGAAGGCTTTTCTGTTAGCTGTACTCTCCAAGGTTCCACAACAGCTGGGGTTGGATCACGCTGAAGCCAGATGTGCATCTGGGTTAACCTAGGTCTTCTACCTGGTGGCAAAGACTTCAGCACAGGAGCCACTCTTTGCTGCCTCCCTCTGGTGTGCATTAACAGGAAGCTGGAGCAGAAGCAGAGGTGGGACTCGCAATCCAGGATTTTTCCAGCATTGTGATTAAATAATCACTGTTAGCTTGAGGGACTTGAAATTTCACTTTTATCAAATGCTAAATTTCCTTAAGTTCTTGACTCTATTTCGGAGTTTTCTATTCTATATGTCTATTCATGTACCATTGCCACAATGATTTACCTGTGGAGACTTACCCTTATTTGAAAGTAACAGACCATAGCTAATGTTTGACCTAACAGAAGAAACAGTCTTAGCATTTTCTTAACTATTTTGGTGAATTTGCTTCTCTGTATGAATTTTAGTTTATCTAACATTTGAAAAAAAATTATTGGAGTTTTTGTTGTGACTGCATTAAACTTTTAAACTAAGGGAGAATTGACTTCAATGATGCTGAATCATGCTACTGAAAAAATATCAAATGAGATGTCTTTAATTTGTCCAGGTGTGTCTTTTGAAGTATTTTATAATTTTCCTCCTACAAGTGTTGTACACTTATCAACTCATTTCTAAGAATTTAATCTTTTTTGCAATTTTAAGTGAGGTTTTCTTGAACATAATTTCTTTTTTTCCCATCTATTTTATTTTATTATTATGTTATGATGCAATTCCATAGGCTCTGGGATTTCCCCTACTGCCTCCCAAATTCCCTCCCCTCAACTTATTTCATCCATATTATTACAATAGTAAGTACTTAATATGCATTCTTTAACTAATTATTGTTTGTGTATGCAAAGGCTTCAGAATATAGATTTTTACATACTATTACCTTACCTTTTATTGTTAAATCTTTTCAATTTTTTGATTAATTGGATTATTCCCATATTACTTGCAAAAAGAGATTCTGTTACTTCTCTTGTACCTATTCATTCTTAGTCTAATTACATTGGCTAATGCTACTGGTACAATATTGAGTAACACTGGAGATCTTAGATGTCCTCCTCATTTCTAGGTTGAAAGAAAACAGTTCTAGTTGTGTCAAATTCAGCAGGTTATTGGTTTTACTACTAGGTTGTATATAGAAATGTATGTAAAATTATGATATTAAAAAAGCATCTATCAAGGGGCTGGCACTGTGACACAGTGAGTAAAGCCACTGCTTGAAATGCTAGCATCCCATATCGGTTTGAGTTCCAGCTACTCCACTTCTGGTCCAGCTCCCTGTTAACGGGCTAAGAAAAGCAGCAGAAGAGGACTCAGATACTTGGGTCCCTGACACCCAGTGGGAAATCTGGATGAAGCTCCTGACTCCTGGCACTGGAGTTTCACCCAGCAATCTAGGGAGTGAAACAGTGGTTAGACGATCTCTCTGGTCACTCTCACTTTCTGTAACTCCGGCTTTCAAACAAATGAATAATATCTTTTTAAAGTATCTAACAAGTCCTATGTTCTTCAGTGTTTTTATGAGAAACAGAGGTTCGATTTTGATAAGTTTTTTTTAGCATTTTATAGAGTTAATTTGATTATTCTTTTTCCTGTAACCTATTTATATGGTATAGGATATACATGAATTTTCTAATTATGAACCTACTTTGTAGTCTTTGAAAGAATCCAACCTGGTGACAATGAATATTATATTTTCAATTCAATGTTGGTTTTTG